CGCCAATCCGGGCAGCGTCCACGTGCCCAGGCAGCCCCTTCCTTCACCGCAGGTAGGTGCCAAGAGCTTTTGTTTCTCCATCCCAGGGCTTCCTGGGCGCTGGGAGGGCAGGGGCTCGCTCTTGGCCCCTAAACGCCCCACTTGTAACTTGGGAGGGGCGAGGCAGACAGGGACGCCCACGTGGTGGGGAGGGTGGTCTGACTGCTCACCCCGCCCCAGCAGGGCCACTGGACCTCGCCTCTCCTCCACCCTGCCTACGTGGGTGGCATTCTCCAGCTGAGCCTGGCCAGGAGGCTGCCCCTGGGAGTGTGTCCAGGAATTCAGCCAGCAGGCTGGCCGTGGCACCTGCCTGAGGACAGGGCAGGGGTGCCTGGGCCCACCCTGGGATGCCAGTCCAGTGCCAGGCTGGTCTGTAAGGCCAGGCCCTGGGCCCTAGCCTGCCCCCATAAGCCCTGGATAGAATGGAGCCAAGCTTCTCAAATCTGAGGTCACCTGGGCGCTGCCTGTGCAGGGTGACCTCTTTGCAAAGTCTTGCTTCCGTTGGGCAGAGGAGGAGGCTGGGGAAGAGGAAGGAGAGAGTGGAGCACAAGTTTGGGTCAAGGTCTGTCCAGGAGCTGGGGTTCAGGTAGGAGAAACTGAGGCAAGCCCCTCTCTGGCATGAAAGCCTGGAACACTGGGGCTGCAATTCCTTCTCTCCCCTCCCCCCTTGTCTTCGCTGATCTCTCCCTCTCAGCTGCTCTGGCAGGAGGAAAGGATTTTCCCAAAGTTTGGCTTTCCCAGGGGGTTCTAGAAGGAGTAGGCAAGCCCAGTGCCCAGCGCCATAGGCCTAGGTAACGGGACAGAGCTGGGGAAGCAGCAAGTGACCCTGTGAGTGACCAGAGCTGAATCCTGTCACCTCCTCCAAGAAGAGCTGGCAGGTCCAGAAGCTGGAGCACCAGACGAGCAGCCCCTGTTCCAGGAGAGCCTCCTGTGCTGTACCCGGCAGAGCCTGGCACTTCACTGTCCTCTCCTGCAAGGGGCTGAGCCTGTGTCCCCAAGGAACAGCTGTCAGTCAAGGTTATTTCGGAATCTGGCATGAGCACAGCCCGCCCTGGGCAGGGTGGGTTTGAGCACCTTTCCCTCTGCCCGAGAGGAAGCAGAAAGAGCACCCAAGTGCCCGGTCCCTCCCCAGCCTCCGGCCAGAGGAGCCCTCGGTCTCTCTGATGCCTGCTCCCATGTCCCACTCACCTGATGGGGCCCAGGAGCTCAAGAGCAGGCACCTGAGGTGATGCTGAGGTGGCCGAGACTCCTGGGCGTGGGGTACCCCTCTCTTGGCCTCTGTCCCCAGTTAACGGCTTCCTGGCCAAGCCCAGGCAGAGGCACTCATAGGCTTCTTCCACAAGGTCAGAGTCCCTCCCGATGTCCCGCTGGAGTCCTTCCCAGTAACGGGAGGCAGGAGGTGAGGCGGGCAGATGAGGGCCCCTGAGCTGACGGTGTGAGTGTCATCGAGGTCCCCCTGCCACCTCATGCTCACCCCACTAAGTGGCAAGGGAGGAGAGGGGCAGGGGAGCAGGCACGATGCCCTCAGAGATGGGCGGGGCTAGAGGGCCAGACTCTCCCTCCAATGGCATCCGCATCCAGCCAACCCGTCCCTCACGCCCCTCCCCTGACCGAACAAACGGCTTCCTCTGGCTCCTGCCCCCAGCCATCCCGCCCGCTCCCCACCCGATCTCCCATCTCGTCCAACTCCACTCTGCATGTTCTCTGCCAGTGCTCCTGTGAATGGAGGCACTATGGGATGGGCTCTGAGCAGCAGGACCGCAGCGCGTGTTTGGATTTCCCACCTGCCCGCCTTGTTCCGTGTGTGACGCTGGACAGTGAGCACTGGCTTGGGAAGCAGGATCCCCTCCTTTCTGTGGTGCTGAGAATCACATGCCTCACACATGTTAGACAGACACCTGGCCACTGCGCTGCCCCCTCGGCCCCAGAAGGATCCCTTTCCAGGACGCCAGGAGCAAGGACAGTTGTTCCAAGTCATTACTGAAGAACCAAATTGAGAAGAAATTTTGCTTGCCTGTCAGCAGAGCGGAGTCTGCGGGTCCCCCTGTGTCTGTCTGAGGGCGGACTCCTCCCCAGGCCCGGGCAGCTCCTGCAGGCCGGCTCAGGGCAGAGGACTGCGGGGCAGGAAGGCCACCCTCTGGCCGGTGGGGACCCTGTGGGCTTTGGGCGGGCTGACATCGGGAGGACAGGGCTCCAGCTGGGGGAGCCTCAGAAGGCTTTGCCTGGGTGGGCACCCCTGGGGGGAGCTTGGCTTTCATGTCTAAGAGGGGACCCAGTGGCTCCTGAGATGAGAAGGGATGAGTTATCCTAGGGAGGAAGATGCTGGGGTTTGGGGTGAGAACATTAAGTGCTTTCGCTTTTGTTGGAATCCTCTTTGGTAAACAAAGGAACTGGGGGGCTGAGGATTTAGCTCAGTGGTTCTGGCTCCTGCCTGGCAAGCGCAAGGTCCAGAGTTCGATCCCTGGCACCAAAAACAAAAATAACAAAAACAAAGGAACTGGGCATAATTTTGCAGCAAGGACTCACTTCGCGCCAGGATGGTAATAGCCAGGACACAGAGCCCGCAGAAGTCCCAGGAATTTCCCAGGGCAGCAACAGGCCTGGGAGTTTGGTCTCAGCTGGGGAACAGTGATCCTCGTGAAGGAAGGGACGTCCAGCACGCAGGGAGGAAGGAGAACAGTGCTGTCTTCCGGTTCCTGAGTTACAACCAGGAGCCACGTGAGAGGATGTGGGGAGGCTGGGAACTTCTAGGGACTTGGGGAGACTCTAGCCCTGGCCCAGACCCCCGGCTCCACGCCACCTTCAGTCACCACCCGAAAGGAGGTTGTCATCTTCCCGCTCAGAAAGTGTCGCCCCCAGTCTGACCTGAGTCCTTTCCGCCTCACTGGGGTGTACTTTGCTCCTGTTCTTCCCTCTTTCCTGATGCCCTGGTCCTGCCCTAGGAATCCCTCCAAAAATACGAACACCACTCACACTTGGGCTTTGAGTTCGTCTTTGAAATGTACTTTCTCACCAATGTTTGGCTTGAGAAAGTTTCTGGCAGATGGACCACGCGTCTTCCAGCCCAGCCCAAGGTAGCACTGATGGGCAGAGGAGACCGTGGGGTGTGAACCTGCTCCCTGGGACAGAGGCTCTGTGTGTGTGTGTGTGTGTGTGTGTGTGTGTGTGTGTGTGTGCACGCGTGTGTGCGCGCTGCGGTCCTGCTGCTCAGAGCCCATCCCATAGTGTCTTCATTCACAGGAGCACTGGCAGAGAACATGCAGAGTGGAGTTGGACGAGATGGGAGATCGGGTGGGGAGCGGGCGGGGTGGCTGGGGGCAGGAGCCAGATCCTGCAGAAGGCTTGATTCTTCCCTTCTCCTGCCCCCTGCTCTAGAGGTGCCTGCACTGGAGAGGCTGGCCCTGGAGGGTAGGGGAGCGGGGGGTGGCTGGGGGCAGGAGCCAGATCCTGCAGAAGGCTTGATTCTTCCCTTCTCCTGCCCCCTGCTCTAGAGGTGCCTGCACTGGAGAGGCTGGCCCTGGAGGGTCAGACTCCAGGCTGCAGACCAGGCCAGACGGCCCCATGAACAAGCTGAGCACTCGGACAGGTGCATGAGCAGGAGTCGCGGATTTGGAGGGCACAGAAGCACCAGGCTGGGGCAGGGGAGCTGCAAATCCAAAAGCCTGCAGGGAGGCTCAGGAGGAGGGGGGCAGCACGTACAGGGGCTGAGGCAAGACTTGGCAGTGCCACTCCTCTGTCCCCCATTTGGGGCCACAGAGGCCCCTGTCCACCCACACCTGTCCTAAGAGCCTCTCCAGCTCGGGCAGCAGCCTCAGGCATCACCAAGACCGCTCAACCACGGTCCTCCTCCCACTGACAACCCCGGCAGTCCCCACCCAGGCCACCACACAGCCCCATCCTCCCAGAGGGACGTGGGGATCGTTGAGGCCCTCCTGGAGGATGGAGGACGACAGAGCTGTCCATCCTAGACGGAAGACAGGGTACCCAGCTCTGCCATTCCATCCTGCAAGGCAGAAAGTAGAGGGTTGAAAGGGACACTCTGGCCCTGACAGCCCACAATCATGTCCCAGCTGGGTCCCTCCTGAGCACATAGTGTAGGGGACGCTCCCACAGGAATGTCCATCTGCCCCAGCCTGGGCTGGCTGCTGGGGCTCGCCCAGGTCCTTCCACCTGTGGGACGCTAGAGGAAGAAGGCACCTGCCGGGAAGGTGGTGGGTGTGTCAGTGCCAAGCTCGTGTGCATATGGCCAGTTGTGACAGCATCGATAAGCCTGACTCATGGACGAGCAGGGTTCCTGGGGACATATGAGAGCTGAGATAGCCTGAGGTCTGCTTTGTCCTGAGCACATGCCATGGACCAGGTGCAACTCTAACCTCATAACACCACAGCTCCTTCAAATGGGGCCGACCCACCTCCTCCCCATTTTGTAGATGGGAGACTGAGGCTCGGTTGTACGCTAGGTTCATACTAGCGAGGACGCCAAACCCATTGTTCCCAGATCCCTTAGTGCTCCGGTCTCGTGACTGGAGGAAGAGAGGTAAACCCAGGGCTGGATTTGCATCCTGAGAGGCCGCATTTGGAGGAGTGTACCTCTTATCTCTGACTGGCTCCACGCAGGGGTCCTTAGACCAGGAAAGCCTGTCACGTGCTGGAGTCTAGCTCACAGCCTGCTGTCCCCAGCTGTCCCTGGGCCCTTTGTTTCCCGAGCTCAGAACACTAGCCAGCTTCCCTGGTTCCTGAGCCCCCAAGTAGCCTGTCCCCTCATGCACTGGTACCTCACAGGACCAGCCCTGGATGGTGACAGCCTGTGCCCGACTGTGCCAGCCTGTGCCTGCACCCCTGTGCCAGGGCAGCTGGCCTGGGTGAAGCTGGGCAGGCTCAGGGGTGGGGGCTAGGGAACAGCTCTGGACCTGGCATAGCTCCACTCAGCCTTGCTCCTGACAAAAAGCCTCCTCCACCCTGGGCACTCTAGAATGTATCACAGGGCAGATGGTCAGGGAGATGAGTGAGCGCATGTCTTACAGCCACTCCCGGGTGGTCAGGGAGCCCCCTAATGGCTGTGTCTTTATCACCAGCTCCTCTGTGCCCTGTGCATGGTGCCTGGTACATGGCTAATACACAAGACAATGAAATGGATGCAGGCAAAACTGTGTGCCAACTCCCTCACCTCCAGGCATACCGTGTGTGTGTGTGTGTGTGTGGTGTGTGTGTGTGTGTGTGTGTGTGTGTGTGTGTGTGTGTGTGTGTGTGTGTGATTCTTGCATGGCCATGGCTCAGTGTACATCTGATCAGGCTGACCCATGTCCAGTGCCCACCAGAGGCCACCCAAGGTCCTTCTCCATCCCACACATATCCTCTAAGGCTGCAGATCCTGGCCCCCCAAGGACCCCCAGGACCTTAGGCTAGAGAGTTGGCTGATGGAGTTTGGATTAAGCTGAAGCTTAAAATGAGCAGCAGTCGGATGATCTGTGATCTGTAGGCATCTTGTCCGGAGATGGAAACAGTGACTAATTGTGACCACTGCAGGGTGGAGGTAACCACTGTGATGTCCCTCTCCACCCTGCTCTGGCATATTCCGGAAAAGAGCCTGCAGCCCAGCTCCTCCCAGGCCAGTCCCTGCCCTGCACAGAGCTCCTAGCTATGGAGGCGGACGCAGGACCAAGCAGATGACAATCCAGACCTGCTCTGTGCCAGACAATGGTCCGTGGTCACCTCTGCCAAGGAGGTGGTTTTCATACTCTTCAGAGAGACTCCCTACCAGAAACCTCCTGGAAGAGTCCCATCTGAAGCAGAGATAAATGGAGGCTCCCCCAGCAGCAGGGCAGAGCCTGGGGCAGGGCCTTCCTCCCTCTCTCCCAAGCGTCGCCCCAGTGCAAGTCTGAGCAGCCTGAGGTTCCACTGCAGGGTGCCCCTGCAGTGCACCTTCAGTCTCTGCATGGCAGATAGGAGTAACTGGGCTCCACAGAGTCGTGAAGAGATGAAGTTGAATTACACAGCCCTGTCCGGTCCTGGAAGGTTCCGTCCTTCTCTGTGCCTCCCTGATCTGAGGAGTCCTGCACCTGTATGGCATCTGGGGCATACTTTTGAGACTTCCCTGCTGACCCTAGGGATCTGAGAGCACATGTGTGTGTGCGTGTGTGTGTGTGTGTGTGTGTGTGTCCACTCCCAGCCACTCCCGGAAACATGGAACCACAGATGTTCTCCATCAGCTAAGTGTGAAACACAAGCAACACCTCCTCTGTGCCAGGCACTCTGTGACAAACAGAGCTACCGAGACGGACATGGGGTCTCCCTGGGGAAACCACATCAGCCTCATGGGCAGGGCACCAAGAGTCCTTCAGAGCTGGAAGGCGGACGTGGTGTGGGATTATCCCCACATGATCCCCACAACTGGGGGGAGAGAGGGCTGAAGCAGAAGGACGGCAAGCTAGACACCAGCCTGAGCAACTCAGGCAGACCTTATCTCAATTTAAAAAAGAAAACCATCAGAGCTGAATTCTGAGTGCAGATGGGCCCATGTTGGCTCTCCCCTTGCAGCCCTGCGGGGGAGGCTGCCCTGCCTAGAAGGGAATCACAGGGGGCAGAGGTGGTGTTGGGCCTCCGGAGGGGTGGGGAGCATCTAGTCTGGAAGTGACAGTGGCAAGGACAGGGAGGAACAGGCCCTGGGGGAGGTGACCGGGCGGGAGCCCTTACCCACCGTGAGGGCAGAGTCCGGCAGGGAGGGGACTGCTCACTGCCACCCTGACTCCCCTGCCACCTCCTCCTGGTGGGCCCTGAGGCCGCTCCTCCCCACCTCCAGCTCCTGCATGCGCCAGCCGTGCTGTTGAGGAAGTGGCAGAGGTTGTGGGTGGTCCCTGTCCCTTCGGAGATCTTTGAGGGGACAGTGAAGGAGGTGCAGGACGCCCTGCGTACACAGGGTGGGGCTTTGGGAGCTCCGGCTCTACCCAGGCTTCTGCTGCCCTGACGCAGGGAGGCTTCTCTGGGGTCTGCGTTAACCCTGGGCCTTGAAGTTCTGCAGGGCTGTTAGCCTGTGCCAAGTATCTAAATCCCTGACCTGCGATACCATGAGGGTAAATCACGACTCCCTCCTCACTGCGAATAATGAGGGGGTCCCCGGAGACTTAATGCAGCTCCCAGAGGCACCTTTTAACCCGCCCAGGTGGCTGTAGGAGAGAGGTGGGGGAGGAGCTGGCCCAGAGCACTGTCACTGGTCCCCCTCCCAGGCACAGGCCTGGCTCTCCTCTCTAGGCCCTCACCGTGAGCGGCAGGAGGGCCTTGCCTCCCAGCAGGTCCTCTCTCAGCTCCCGCCTCCTGAGGGCAAAGCAGGACTCCCTGGGACAGGAGGAGGCACTCAGCCCCGAAGAGCTGGGAGGTCATAGCCAAGCCCCTTCCCCAGGGCCCTGAGGATCGGATGGATCGGTGATTCTGGTGGCGGCCGGTGCAGAGCGAGAGCCTCGCTGACGGGAGGGGCCTGTGCTGGGCGGACTGGCCTCACCTGCCTGCTCGGCGCTGCATCTCCTCCCAGGTGCTCATCAGCATCAGCGTCCAGCCAGGCTCTCCCAGGCCTGAGGCTTCTCCCCTCGGATCCCCATCCACCTGGACAGCCCACCATGGGGGCCCGCCCCGCGACGAAGCCACACCTGCTGCTGCTGCTGGCCACGGCCCTGGTCTCCTCCCCAGGTAAGCGCTTGGTTCATCTGGTCTCCAAAGGGCTGATGATGTTGTCAAATCATTGCTATGACTTGGTGATGATTATGCAAATGACTGCCTCTGCGTAGTAGCTTAGCGCCTAGATTTCCGAGGCCACCTCCTTGCTAAATAATCCTCATCTGAGGTTAGGAAAGGAAATGAGTCTTTGTTGTGCTGTAGAGGAAGGAAGAATGACCCAGAGAGGGCAAGTAGCTTCCTCTGGGTCACACAGCAAGATTATGGCACAATGGGAGCTGCACCACTTGTGCGTGCGTGTGTGCGTGTGTGTTTCATGGTACCGGGGATCAAAGCCTGGGCTCACACCTGCTAGGCAAGCACACTACCCCTCGCCCCCAGCCCCTAGAGCCGAAACTTAAGGTTCAGTTCACTTTAACGGTGATACCCAGCTCTCTAGCCGCACTTCAGGCGCCCCGCACTCACCTCCGGTTGTTCCGGATTCCCCGGCACAGGTGGCAGCAATGACGCCCCAGAACTCTAGGAGGTTCCCTCCGGGGACCGGTGGGGGGCAGCACTGAGCGAGTTTAGGCAGAGCAGAGGAGGCTCCAGCGTCCTGGTTCTGAGTTTGGAGGAGAGTGGAGGAGGGACGTGAGACACAGGGTTGAGCCGCCCTGCTAGCGATGGAGCGGGGTCCAGGCCTGTTTCTCAGGGGCTGGGGGCCACTGCTCGGCCTCCGCCCTGACCCCATCAGCCCCACCGCCTGGCTGGCTGAGCTGCCTTTCTTCTTCCCCTAGAGAGCTGCACAGCGGGGAACCGGAGCCACAGTAGCCACCCTCACCATCCGGGCTCTCAGGGCTCAGGCTGCCCCTCCCCACCCACAGCGCCTGCGAGGTTGAGCCAGTGCGCCGCGGCGGTCCCGCCTGCCCACGGGCCTGCTTCCAGATTTTCTCATTTTGTCCTCGCTGCCTCCCAGTCTTACACCCAACTGGAAGAGGCTTCTGGGAAACAGGGCCGACCTCGTGTGGGCAGCTGGGACTGCACAGAGAGGGACACAGCCCACAGAGGGTGGAAGAGAGGTGCCCGGGCTCCTCAGTGACCCCTCCCTCGGGCACAACGTGGTGCTGGACCTGCCCCATCCTAAGCAGGGAGTGTGGGCAGCATCCAGGGGCCACAGGACCATTGCGAAGGGGCCAGGACCCGCTCCTCTGAGAGAGAGGGAGACAGACAGACAGAGAAAGGTGGTAAATGTCATCACCGGTCTCCACCCTTGCCAGGACGGTACCTCAGCCTTAGGCTTTCTTACTGCTCTGCTCTCGGGGTAGAGCTCTGGGTTCCTGGGGCCCTGATCAGGGAAGAGCAGGAAGGTGGTGCAGCTCCTCCTCCCTCCTCAGCTCTCCAAGCCCCTCCCCAGCCAGGCTCCTGATGCCTGGATCCAAGGAAAGAGTTACCAGGACTCTGTGTGTGTGTGTGTGTGTGTGTGTGTGTGTGTGTGTGTGTGCGCGCGCGGAAGCTGCATGTGTAGGTGGGTGTGTATGCAGCTGTGGAGGAAACGGGGGTGTGGGGGTGTCTGTGGATGTGGCTGCTGTAAAGCAGGTATGAGAGGGGTGCAGCACTAAGGGAGGGAGCTGTCTGAAGGCCCCCAACACAGAGCCAGGGTCCCCGCCACCACCCTTTGGAATGCTCTAGGCCTTCTCTTACAGCCTGGGCACCGGACCCACTCAACTGTCCGGCACCACCCAGACTCCAGGACTCCAGGAGCTGCTAGCAATTCTGATTCCTGGCCTTTGTGATGGAACAGGGCCCCGTTGTTTCTGATGGGCACCATGGCATGGTGTGCACGGGTGTAATCCCAGCACTCTGGGAGGCTGAGGCAGGGGGATTGCAAGTTCAAGCCCACCTTGGGCAACTTAGAGACTTAGTGAGACCCTGCCTCAAAATAAAATATTAAAGAGGGCTGGAGACGCAGCTCAGTGAGAAGGCCCTGGGTTCAACCTCCAGTACCACAAAAGGAAGAAGGAGAGGGAGAGAAAGAGGAGGAGAAAAGAAAGAGAAAAAAAAAGAATGCTGGCCACAGGCAGAATCTCCTGCTCTACTTCTTGCTGTGTGGGGCAAGTTATTGAACCTCTCTAAATCTGTTTCCACACTGGTAAAATAAGAAAATGCGGAGTGTTTACAAGAAGGAGCTATGGGCGAGTGGTACCTGATAAACAGCAAAGGATTGAGCAGTAACGCCTATTTGTACGGTTCCTTCCATTTATGTGTTTATTATCAGTCTCTCACATAGAAATGAGTCTATGCAGCCAGGCGCTGCACTTGTGCATGGAGGCACAGGCACACTTCTGGCCCGTGAAGAGCTTAGAGAAGTGCCGTGTTAGGCATGAACGTGTGTGTGACACAAGCTTGCACATGAGTGATAGGGCAGTGTGTACACATGGGTACTGGGTGAGCATGAGGCTGTGCATGTGCTGACAGCCGGGGAGAAAGCTTTTCCAGGAGGAAAGAGTCTCCAAGCATCAGTGTGCCTGGCTCCAGCCGCCCCACCACCCAGATAGCTCCGGAGTGGCTGTTGTCCTGGGTCCTCCCAGCTTCTTGGCTCCTCCCATCTTCCCAGTGGTCCCAGCTGGGGCCGTGGTCCCTACTCTCCACCACCATCATTAACTGGGGATTAGGCTGGGCTCTGCGGCTAAAAGGAGAAGCGGTGGCCCCTCCAAGGCCCTGGGGTCAGCAGTGAGACAGAAGCAAGGCTGGTGTGTGTGGGGCAGGACTCTGTGCTGGCCCTTCCTGGGAGCCCTGCCTCCTCCCTCCTTCTGAGAGCTGCAGAACAGCTGCCCCAGCCCCCAGGGGCCGGGCTGGGCCTCAGCTGCAGCATAGCCCATTCTTGGAAGAGGCTGGCGGCTGGATGCATCGGAAAGGGGGCACAAATTGGTTACCGGTCCCTCCGGTCTGTGATCCACCAAGGAGGGCTTAAGGGAGCTGTACCGAGAGATGGGGGGCAATTAGGGAGCTGCCCCCCACATCACAGTGGCTCATCAGGCAGGCAGGAGGCGTGAGGCACTGTCCTCCAGGACGGTGGTGCTGAGGGAGGGGGCATCTGCCCAGGACCGGGCTGCTGTGCCAACTCTACCTTCCCCATTGGTTCAGCAATTTCAGGACACCTGAAGTCCAGACCAGCTGGGTCACAGGCTTGCCATGTGACCAAGTCAGTCCCTTCTCTAAGCCTCTTAAGTTGTGACACTGGGATTTCACAAGACTGCCACCAGTCCACCTGCCCTCCATCCACCCCGTCAGCCCTTCCTTCTCCCCCATCCCCACCCTGCGAGCACGCAGGCTGGCATTCATTTGAATAGCCTGGGAGGTCTAGCCTAGGCTCCTCCCAGAGTGTTTTGCACTGGGCTGCTCAGCCCCCAAACAGCATAGATTCTAGGAACCCACACCCTCGCTGCCCCTTTTTCTCTGCAGTCCTGGGTATGGGACCCCTTCCAGACAAGTGCTATACCACTGGGCTCAGTTCCCCTGTCCTTCGACTTTTTGTTTTGAGGCAAGGTCTTACCTAGTCTCCCAGGCTAGCCTCAAACTTGGGATCCTCTTGCCTCAGCCTCCCAAGAAGCTGGGATTAGTGCCTGTACAACCGCATCCATCTCAGATGAATTTGCTGAGGCTTCCCTGAGTCCCCCAGGGTGGTAGGAACTGATCCCACTGTGAGGGTCCCAGCACCTTGGTCCCAAACCACTATTACGGCGTATGGCACCTTGCACCGTCAGTTGTCACAAGCTCGCTTAGGGAGGGTCTGTCTGATTCTTTTCACAGCCCAGTGCCAGGTATACAGCAGGTGCTTAATACCTGAGGGTAGTGTGGGTAACTGACTGAGCTGACTTGCCCAAGGGGTCCTGCCCAGCTTATTAAATTCAATTTTAAGTTTAAGATTAAGTTATCTTAAAAACGCAATCCCTCAGCCGCATTAGCCACATCTCAAGTTCTCAGCAGCCACAAGAGGCCAGTGGCCGCCATATTGGACAGTGCAGAAAATGGAACATTCCCACGAGCTCGGAGACTTCTGCTGGACAGTGCAGCCCAGGGCCAGGCTCCAGCTAGCCCCAAGCCCTGAGGACTCATGGTGTTCCCATCTGCAGCTTGGAGTTTGGCCCAGGGATCCCCAGCCACCTTCGGGCCTGTCTTTGAAGACCAGCCTCTAGGCCTGCTGTTCCCAGAGGAGTCCACAGAGGAGCAGGTGACCCTGGCATGCCGGGCCCGGGCCAGCCCTCCTGCCACCTACAGGTGAGACCCCTGCAGTGGGTGCTGGGATGCCCTGGGAAGCCTTGGTTTCCCCTCCTGTCGGCCCTGCCACCACAGGGCTGACGTCCTCTGCTGTGTCCTCTGTGGCAGGTGGAAGATGAACGGCACAGAGATGAAGCTGGAACCGGGCTCTCGTCACCAGCTGGTGGGCGGCAACCTGGTCATCACAAACCCCACCAAAGCACAGGACGCCGGTGTCTACCAGTGCCTGGCCTCAAACGCCGTGGGCACTGTCATCAGCAGGGAGGCCGTGCTCCGCTTTGGCTGTGAGGCTGGGTAGAGGGGACCAGGCTGCTGACTGGGAGGCAAGAAGGGGTGGGAGAGGTCCACAAGGACAGGTGACACCCCCAAGCTTGGCGTCCCCACCGGACTCCACACTCACGGATGGACTGTGGCCTCCCTGTGGAGGAGGAGGTGGGGAGGGGACCTGGCCTGGAGGACATGCCTGAGCCCTGTTTCCATCCGCAGTTCTGCAGGAATTCTCCAAGGAGGAACGCGACCCAGTGAAAGCCCACGAAGGCTGGGGGGTGATGCTGCCTTGTAACCCACCCGCCCACTACCCAGGTAAGTGGGGGCCCTGGGGCCGGGGGCACAGGAAAGGCGTGGATGCCCCCCAGGGCAAGGAGGGAGGAGAGGTGGCAGGTAACCTGTATCTCCCACTTTCTCTCTGCCCCTGATGGTAGGCCCCCAGCCCCTAGCACTCCCCGAGGACAGATTAGGGTCACAAAGCCCACCTCTGAGCACGGGGACTCTCAGGGCAGGATCTGCCGGTTGGGTTCTCACCCACGTCAGCCTGAGCCCAGCACTCCCTCATTTCCTCAAACTCCCCTCATCCTAGGCTTGTCCTACCGCTGGCTCCTCAATGAGTTCCCCAACTTCATCCCGACGGACGGGCGTCACTTCGTGTCCCAGACCACAGGGAACCTGTACATCGCCCGGACCAACGCCTCCGACCTGGGCAACTACTCATGCCTGGCCACCAGCCACATGGACTTCTCCACCAAGAGTGTCTTCAGCAAGTTCGCGCAGCTCAACCTGGCGGCAGAAGGTCAGGGTCTCTGGGCGGGGAATGGGCACGGTGGGAGGGGAGCCGAGAGAGAAGACAGACGGGGTCCCCTTTGGAGATGGTGGAGAGCAGCTCGGGGCACGGGACCCAGGGCCTGGACCTGGTCCTCCTGCAGCCTGGCCCCAGACCCTTGTGCCGGGGCCAAGAATGGAACAGCAGCTCCTGAGATCCCACCCGCTTCGTTACCCAGCGGCACGAGCCCCAGCGGTGCAGCAATGCTGGGTCCTGAGTGCAGGAGCTGCCCCGCCCTGGACTTGCTGCCTGTGGCCTGCAAGACTCCTCTCTCCCCAGATCCCCGGCTCTTTGCGCCCAGCATCAAGGCCCGGTTCCCCACAGAGACTTATGCACTGGTGGGACAGCAGGTCACCCTGGAATGCTTCGCCTTTGGGAAGTGAGTGACGGGGGTGAGGTTCCCTGGGTGGGACACCTTGAGGACATGGGGATGGCTGGGCAAGGTCACCACAGGGGCCTGCGGGTACTGGTCACTGTCTGCCTCTCTGGGAGGCACCTCTCACCAGGACTCTTAATGCGTGGGCCACATGGTCCTGCGGCCACACACACAGCCTCTGACAGTTCAAGGAAACCCAGGCCGCAGGCTGGTGTGGACCCCAACCCATTCTTCCTGGTTCAAATCCCACCTCCGCCCCTTGCTGGCCGGGAGACCTTGGGTAAATTATCTAACCTGTCTGTCTCCGTTTCCTCATTTTAAGTGGTGATGATGGTGAGGTGGTTCTAGCATGCTTGTGTGGGTTAAATGAATTAATACACGAACCACCCTTAGAACAGCACCTGGCAGTCAGTAAATATTCTACCCATGTGAACAAATGCCCACTTTTTAAATTAGAACAGAAAGTGTTATCTTTCTTGTTCTCCCAGGAAAAGGAGTCACTGGAATCGGACTAAGCAGTAGCAGATGCTCAGTAAATGTTTGTGGAATGAATAAAAGAAATGTGACTTGTGCATCAGTCTCTTCATTCCTCAGATATGAGGCTGCTGCTTTGTGAAAAGATATTAGGGCCTCCAGAAAATGCCCATGAAAAGCACATGGGAGGGCACACTGGCCCTTTGAGACTCTCTGATTCCTAGGTAGGCTTGATGGCTAGTTCCTGAAATCCCAGTGCTTAAGGGGGCTAGGCAGGAGGACTGCAACTTGCAGCCCAGCCTGGTCAACTTAGTGAGATGCTACCTCAAAATTGAAAAAAAAAAAGAATTTTAAAAAAAATAAAGAGCAGGGAATGTAGCATCCCTAGGTTAGATCTCCCCAGTACCAAAACCAAAACCAAAACCCCACTGATCTGCAGTCCACTTTAATTCACAGATTACTAATAGCTAAAGAGACTTTCAGAAGTGGGCTGAAAGGACAGGGGACGCCTACGGACACAAGTCACAGGCCACAGCCAGCCTGGGGACAGACCAGCTCTGGTGGCTTCCTGGCTGTGGCAGGGGCCAGAGGGGCCAGGAGCCCTGCTCCCGGTTCTTTTCCCGCTTGGATTCCGAGTCTACCTAGGAGAAGAGCAGGAGAGTCAGCCGGGTGCTGTCCCCTCCCAGGCCCCAGGTCCCCTCCCCGGCTGCCCAGCAGGGCCCCTCTGACTCCGTCTCCCCCCCAGCCCTGTCCCCAGGATCAAGTGGCGCAAAGTGGACGGCTCCTTGTCCCCGCAGTGGGCCACCGCCGAGCCCACCCTGCAGATCCCCAGCGTGAGCTTCGAGGACGAGGGCGCCTACGAGTGCGAGGCGGAGAACTCCAGGGGCCGCGACACCGTCCAGGGCCGCGTCATCGTGCAGGGTACCCGGCGGGGCGGGGCCCCAAAGCTGGGAGGAGCTTTCTCACTCCAGGGCTGCCCCGGGTGTGGGATCAAAAAGGCTGGGGCTGCTGGGGCCAGCTCGGAGCCTCAGCCGGGAGTGCAGAAAGCACACAGGAGGGGTCAGGATGATTTAAGTCGATAAAACGACCGCTGGGACGACCAGACCACGGAGCGCAACTTTTTCCTCTTTTCCCCTTTGCCCCCTGTGTCTTCTGGGTCCCAGGATGCGGGCAGCGCCCTCTGCTGTCTGGAACAAGTACTGCAGCCTTGCGATTATTTCCGCTCTAAGCGAGGGGCTGCTCCCTTGTCATCCCGGTTTCTCTCCCTTGCTCCCTACAGCGCAGCCCGAGTGGCTCAAGGTGATCTCAGACACAGAGGCCGACATAGGCGCCAACCTGCGTTGGGGCTGCGCGGCCGCCGGCAAGCCCCGGCCCACAGTGCGCTGGCTGAGGAACGGGGAGCCCCTGGCCTCCCAGGTAACCCGGGAGCCTCCTCCTGAACAGCCCCCTCCTCCGCTCAGCTGGCTCCCTCGGACCCCGATGCCGCCCCCCCGCACCTGGCAGCCTCTCTGGTGGATCCGGGCGCTCTCCCGGCGGAGTCTCACGGCCACAGGCCAGTCCGCTGCACAGAGCCCCAGAGAGCTGGGTGCGGGGTGTGGCCCTCAGTGGGTCACTGGCCCCTCCGACCCGGCGGTGTCCCTGAGCCCCATCCCAAGGGACTGTGAGCCTGGCGCCTCTCTTCGCCCTCCCTGAGCCTGATTCCCCTGCCCGCACTACCCTGGGCCAGGGCTCTGCACAGAATCGGGTGGAGGTGTCGGCCGGGGACCTGCGGTTCTCCAAGCTGAGCCTGGAAGACTCGGGCATGTACCAGTGTGTGGCAGAAAACAAGCACGGCACCATCTACGCCAGCGCCGAGCTGGCCGTGCAAGGTACAGGGCCCGGGAGGGGAGCGCGGGGTGGGCACGAGAGTACTAAGCCTCAGCCTCTAACGCCACACACGCACGGGGGTCACCCGGCTTGCCCACTGCCTCTGAGGACTGAGGGAGCTCGGGAAGGAGGCGCAGCTCCTAGGGCACGGAGCCTCAGCCCACTCCATGCCTGGCACCCCCAAAGCCAGTGTTTGCCACAGAGAAAAACAGGCAGCAAAAGCACCACCAACCATCCTGATCAGACCAGTGTTTGATACAGTGCCTTTTGCGCTTGACCTGGGGCGAGTTACTGTGTCTCTGCGTCTGTTTCTCAATTTCTAGAACAGGAGGTATAATCACCCTGGACAGAGGTGGAGCATCAGGGTCTGCCCCGTGTGACGGGCCTAGCTCACAGCTAGTGTTAATATTTAGCTGTGTGACTCCAGGCTGCTGAGCCTCACTTTCCCCGTCTGTAAAATGGGTACATTGCTATTGACTCATAAGTTATAGTGAGGCTGAACTAAGACTTGTTCACTCAGCCAATACTTAGCACTTCCTAGAGCATGGAAGCAAAAGATCACCACTCTGCCTGCAGGCAGCTTACAACCCATAGAAGGAGAGGGACAACTCAATACAAAATCAAATCATTACACAATTTCTGATAGCCATGAACATACAGCATAAAGAAAACTGAGTAGTGTGAAGTGGGTGAGGTGGTCAGGAAAGACTTCCCACATTTGGGATGCGAGCTGAGTGTTCAGAAGAATCCAGCCTTGTGACACTCAGGGAAATTTCCTGGCAAACTTTATAGCAAGTGCAAAGAATCACTGTGAGTTCAAGGCCAGCCTGGGCTACATAGTGAGACCCTGTCTCAAAAAAAACCTAATCATCATCCTCATCCTCATCTTCTTCATCTTCATCATCACCCAGGTGGGAGACTCAGTGGCCAGGGACAGAGCGGTGGCAGTGGGGTGCCAGAAGGGCTGTACAGTGGATGCACCCAGAACGTGAGGCTCCCGGAGCTCTTCGGTCTCTGGAGGCCCAGCACACTCCCACATGACACCGCAACAGAGGGTGGCGGGCGCTGCCGCTCCCTGTAGTGACCCAGCCCTGCCCTTTTCCAGCACTGGCCCCGGACTTCCGGCAGAACCCGGTCAGGCGCCTGATCCCAGCGGCTCGGGGTGGGGAGATCAGCATCGCCTGTCAGCCCCGGGCAGCACCCAAGGCCACGGTGCTCTGGAGCAAGGGGACGGAGATTCTGGGCAACAGCAGCAGGTGCCCCCTGCCCCACTCCCGGAGCCGCCCTGCCCCTCTTCCTGGTCACCCCTCGTGTGCCTGCGCGTGACCCATGTGGGCCGCACCTGCCTTGTCCTGTGCAGAGTGACAGTGACACTGGACGGCACCTTGGTTATAAGGAACATCAGCCGCTCAGACGAAGGCAGATACACCTGCTTTGCTGAGAACTTCATGGGCAAGGCCAACAGCACGGGCGTCCTGTCTGTGCGCGGTAAGGGCTGGGGCCTGCCGGGCGTCCTCCCAGCGTCCCGTGCCACCTCTGAGCCACCCCAGGATCCGGGGTTGCTGGGACCATGCCCGGCCCCTCTCCAGTCCGTCCTGCCCCTGGTCACAGGGCTATGCGGGACAGAGCTCTTGGCCCACTATGTGTCCCTCCCTGGGCTTTCTTGTCCCACAGCCACCCAGAAGCCTCGCTTGCTATTCTTTTTTTTTTTAATGTCCTACAGATGCAACCAAGATTACTCTGGCCCCCTCCAGCGCCGACATCAATTTGGGCAACAACCTGACACTGCAGTGCCACGCCTCACACGACCCCACCATGGACCTCACTTTCACCTGGACCCTAGACGACTTCCCCATCGACTTGGACAAGCCCGGGGGTCACTACCGGAGGGCCAGCGCGGTGAGGACCCCTCCTTCCAGACAGGCAGGGCGCCCTGTTCCCTGCCGTCCCACCGAGGCCTCTCTGTAGCGAGCTCACCCTTGGGCTAAGGGCCAGCCTTCCCGGACCCAACCAAAGACTGCGCACTCAGGGGAGGATGAGAGGCAAACATAGAATTCTGAGTGCCCAAAGACCCTCCACAACTGCTCTCGTTATGCTGTCCCCAGTGCAGGGGGCGTGGGCAGCTGCTTCCTCCCACTGATGGCAGGAGACTGAGCTGTAGGGACACAGACATCCCGAGCCCTGCCTGTGTCTCATGGCTCCCTGGGCCACTTTCTCTGACCCCGCAGAAGGAGACTGTCGGGGACCTGACCATCCTGAACGCCCAGCTGCGCCACGGGGGGACGTACACGTGCATGGCCCAGACGGTGGTGGACAGTGCATCGAAAGAGGCCACCGTCCTGGTCCGAGGTGACGTGGCTGCCCCCCTGTCCCTGTCCCGAGCTCCCTTCATGGCCAGCTGCGCCGTCCCGACTTGCTCGCCCTGGCTCCCTGAGCGTGGTGGGGAAGGCTTCCAGAGAGGCCCCAAGCCGGTCTCTGCAGCATGGTCTCTGCGGGCCTTAAGAGACTGGCATATTTTCTTCCAGAGTCAAATTTAAAGAGAAAAAAAAAAAAATTCCCCCAAGCCAGGCCATGGTGATGCACACCCACCTGTAATCCCAGCACTGCAGCAGAGGCTGAAGTAGGAGGATTGCAAATCCAAGCCCACCCTAGGTGACTTAGTGAGGCCCTTAGTGACTTAGTAAATAAAAAATTTAAAAAGAGCTGCAGTTCAGGGGTCTGGAGTCCATATAGAACCCAGGGATGCAGCAAATCCACCCTTAAACATCCCAGGTCAGTGCTTTGCTGGGCTCGGTTTTCAAGTATAGTGCTGGACGAGCTCCACTGTCCATCCCTCTGTAAGGGCAGCCACCGTGAACGCCCGCAGCCTGCACTCGTCCCTCCCCCCACTACAACACCCTCCTTCCCACCGGGTACATTTGCCGCGCCCTCTGCCGCCCTGCTTGGGTACTGCACCAGCCCAAGCCAGGCCTGAATCCAATTGAAAGCGCCCATTCCTCACGCTCTTGGTACAGGTCCCCCAGGCCCCCCGGGAGGCGTGGTGGTGAGAGACATCGGTGACACTACCGTTCAGCTTAGCTGGAGCCGTGGCTTTGACAACCACAGCCCCATTGCCAAGTACACCCTGCAAGTGCGCACCCCACCCGCGGGGAAGTGGAGGCAGGTTCGGACCAGTAAGTGTAAGAAGGCTGGCTGCAGGAGGGGTCAGAAGGCAGGGGCAGGGGTCAGACGGTGAGGGGTGGGGGTGCCACAGCATTAGCTAGGGGACCAAGGCAGCAGTGTTTCCTAGTTTTCAATCATTTCTGGCAGAGGTACTGAGTGCTTAGTATATGACCCACCCACAGGGCTGGGTACCAGGGAGTTTCCAGCCAGTGCCTGCTATCTACATGCAGAAGAATAAACCCATGCTGCCCTGTGACTCCCTGGTGCCTTACAGATCCTGCCAACATCGAGGGCAATGCCGAGACCGCCCAAGTGCTGGGCCTCACGCCCTGGATGGACTATGAGTTCCGGGTGTTGGCCAGCAACATCCTGGGTACCGGTGAGCCCAGTGGGCCCTCCAGCAGAATCCGGACCAAGGAAGCAGGTCAGGGGCCTGGGGGTCCACATAGGGCTCTCAGCAGGGCAGATTCTGGGCCACCATACAGGGAACCCTAAAGGAGCAGCCATTGTGAAGGTCCAACCCTGTTCCCCAGGCTTTCCGTCCTAACAGGAAAGGACACCGAGAATGTGTATTTTTTTTTTTTTTTAAGGGGAAAACCAGTTTGGAGAAGGGAAGGGTCACACTGGCAAAGTCTGGACTTGACCCAGGACCCTGGGAGGTGGGAAGCTGTCCTCCTAGATAAGCATGTGTGGCAGACATCAGTTAATTAGAAGGCGTGCGTGTGTGTGTGTGTGTGTGTGTGCACACGTGTGTGCACCTGTGTGTTGCACAAGGCTGGGGGAAACAGCCCGAGTCTCCGCACTCTTGTTTAGATGGCTCCTTTGGAGCAGGAGGAAGAAATCTGGAAAGGCTTGTGGGTGTCAGAGCAGGACTGGGGCAGACAGGCCCTGAGTGCTGGGGCCCTGGGCCGCAGCAGGGAATGGGGTCCGGGCACCTCCTCCTGCCCACCCGGACCTCCGCGGGCCGTGTGCTAAGCTCGCGTTGCCCCTCACCGGTTGACTCTGGGCTCCTTCTGGAGTCTCGGGACCCTTTGAACTCCCACCTCTCCGGAGTGGGAAATTCCAGACAGGGCACCTTTTCCTCCCTGAGCAGCTAGGAGATGAGGGGCTTCCTTTATTCTCGCATCCCAGAGTGGATGACCCAAGATACCTGTGCTGCAAAGGCACCGCGCTGGGCTTTAACGTCCAGCTGGGCTATGCACCAACGGAGTGGGCACCAGCAATGCGCCTCCGGGACCAAAAGGCAGTGGGCTTCAGTGCTGCTTGCAAAGTGTGAGGCCTGACGGTGTCACCACCAGAACCCAGCGCAGTTTCTGCAGGAATATTCAGAGCCCCAGCCAACCTGCAGGAGCTGAACAATACACCCTTGGTTTAATACAGAAATAAGCCTTGTTTAATACTAGAGACAATTGGGAAATGAAATCTTCCACAGAAAGAAAAACAGTAATAAAACAGCCCGGAACCGAAAAGAAATGGGGCTCTTTTTTTTGTTATATGGTTGGTTTTTGTTTTGTTTTGTTTCCTCCATTAACTACAGTTCTGGGTAATTCGTTCCCCTTCACTTAAAGCAAACTGGAGTTGGTTTCTGGGTTTCAGTTTAAGCCAACACAGCTGTCACTTGTTCAGCACCTCCGCGTACTAGCCATTCTCCTCCAGCCTCTTCTTGTCATAGCCTTTTAGAGAGCACTGTCTTCGTCTTAGGGAGGAGAGGTACCGAGAGGTTAAGTTCCTCACCCGGGAGGGAGACGCGGCAGGGAAACCTCAGAGGTGGGATTTGATCTCAGGTCAAGGCCCACAAAAGGTGGGAAGCTCTGCAGGCACAGCTCAGGGCTTCTGCCAGCTGCTGCCCAGTAACAAGCCGCATCTGTGTCCCTTGGCCCTGACAGTCCCTTCGGTGGCACCCTCGGGACTCAGTGGAGGAGGTGGAGCCCCCGGAGAGCTCGTCGTCAGCTGGACTGTAAGCCGGCAGGGACAGAAGTGGGAAGGCGCCTTCACTCCCCAGGGCCAGGCCTTGTCCCCACCCGCTCGTCCCCCATTTGAGCAGCCTGCAGAAGGGACTGCCACACAGTTCTGACCCACAGGCCGACAACTCCCTCTTCTCCGTCCCTAAGTCCCCTGCAGGCTAAGCTAAGACCACAGCGGGCACAGGCATCCCGGGGCTGCCCCTCTTGGCAAAAGCTGGGCGGAGCCAGGGGTTGGGCAGGGAAAGCGCCCGCGACCCCTCGCCCACGCCACACTCTTGCCCTCAGCCCATGTCACGGGAGTACCAGAACGGAGACGGCTTCGGCTACCTGCTGTCCTTCCGCAGGCAGGGCAGCAGCAGCTGGCAGACCGCCCGAGTGCCTGGCGCCGATGCCCAGTACTTCATCTACAGCAACGAGAGCATCCGGCCCTACACGCCCTTTGAGGTCAAGATCCGCAGCTATAACCGGCGCGGGGACGGACCCGAGAGCCTCACGGCGATAGTGCACTCTGCGGAGGAAGGTGGGGAGCCGCTCATCCTGGGGGGTGGGGGGACTCACTTCCGGCTGGGCACCTCCTCTCCCTTCCTCCCAAATCCTGTGAGACACGGGGGTGCCCTGGGGAATTCAGCCCATTCTATCTCGGTCCCCAGAGCCCAGGGTGGCCCCCACCAAGGTCTGGGCCAAGGGGTTCTCATCCTCAGAGATGAACGTGACCTGGGAGCCTGTGCAGCAGGACATGAGCGGGATCCTCCTGGGGTACGAGGTGAGCACAAGCTGGGGTGTGAACAGGACGGGGTGCAGGGTCCAGTCATCCCTCCTGTAATCACCCAGCCACTGACACCCAGTCTCTGCGGACATGCGTGGGAATGTCACAGGGGATCCCTGGAGGACCCCCTGGGGGACAGATGTGCACACAGCCCAGAGGTAAATGCCTGTCAGAGCCAGTGCTGGGAGCTGGGCGGGGGTGGGGTGAGCGGGCCTGGGAAGGGGCACAGTCCGCTCCTTTCATGCCAGGGCCCACCCAGCCTGGCATCTCCGGACTGCAGAGCGAACAGCATGGTCCTATATACTCACTGATCGCCTGTCCCTGGGGACTCCGGGCCCAGCCGCCCCCTCCTGACTGCAGAGTTGCAAGGGATCAGGGGGCAGGAAAGGGAGAAAACCAGGAGCATCACTGCCTGAGTGAGAACCTTCGGGTTGGGCTCCAAGGAAACCTATAGAATCCCACCAAGAGAATCAGCTCAGGCAGCCGCAGGCAGAAGATCGCCCCAGACTCTGCCTTGATTTGGAAGAGGTCTTAGTATCACAGCTGCCGTTAAACTAGGTTTGTATTGCTCATCCATCAGAGGACAGGCCCTACTCCACAAGCACAAGTGTGCCTTTCCTGTCCTTGCGGAATCCCCTCGGTCACCAGCCTGATTAATGCAATGAACTGGGCAGGCCATGTCCAGGCTGAGCCTGTGCCCACCCCTGCCCATGCCTGAAGCAGTATTCTGAGTCTGGGCACCCTGCTGGGCCACCAGTCCCAGGGACCCAGGCACTCACATCCATGTGGCCCTGCTCTCTGGGTGCTGCTGATCTCGTACGCAGGTTCTGAGTCACAGGACTCAGGTGAGCAGGACAGGAACTGAATGGGGCTGGAGGCTGGAGGACCCCAGGCTTGGCACTGGCCCCAGGCACCCCTGCCCCTCTCAGATCCGCTACTGGAAAGCTGGGGACAAAGAAGCCGCTGCTGACCGGGTGAGGACAGCAGGGTTGGAGACCATTGCCCGTGTCACCGGTCTGTACCCCAACACCAAGTACCACGTGACCGTGCGGGCCTACAACCGGGCTGGCACCGGGCCCGCCAGCCCCTCCACCAACGCCACCACCATGAAGCCCCGTGAGTCTGTGCACCAGGGGGGCGGGGCCTCCAGGACCACACTTTGGTTGAGGACAAGACACACGCTGGGCAGAAGCAAGGCTACGGGGATAGAATTCGGGGCCTCTCTCCTCCTGGATCTGCATGGGCTTTGTATCTTGGCCAGGGGCGACAGTGTCCTGAGCGAACCTGCTTAGGCAGACACTCGGGAGGGGCTGGCTTGGGAGTCTCTTCCTCTCTCCCTCCTTGCAGCGCCTCGGAGATCCCCCGGCAACATCTCCTGGACCTTCTCCAGCTCCAGCCTCATCATCAAGTGGGACCCTGTGGTCGCTCTCCGAAATGAGTCTGCAGTCACGGGCTACAAGGTAGGAAGGGGCCTGTCGGCCGGAACGGGAAGAGAGCTGCAGGAGAGGGGCAGCTCAGGGCAGAGGGATCTGAGCGAGGCCGACGCAAAATGGCCTGGGGGAGACTAAAAGAGGGCAGATGAGGTCGATGCAGAAGATGAGATTGGGGTGAGCTGAGGGCGGCAAGCAGGAACGGAGCTGTGAGGGCCCCTCCCAGGGCTGCAGCTGGGCTGGGCGGGAGGCTCCTCCCCTGTAAGGACGGCTTCCCTCAGATGCTGTACCAGAGTGACGTGCACCCGACTCCCATACTGCACCTCAGCAGCAAGAACTGGATAGAAATCCCCATGCCGGAGGACACTGGCCGTGCCCTCGTACGGATTCGGACCACGGGGCCCGGAGGGGACGGGACCCCGGCAGAAGTCCACATCGTGAGGAACGGAGGTGCCGACTCCTCCCCAGCCTCATCCCCCGGGTTCTGAGGGTTCCCCAGACCACCCAAGCCAAGGCCAGCCCAGAGGGAAGAAGACAGGCAGGAACTGAAGTAACGCGGGGACCCAGAGCAACCGAGCCTCCCTAGGGCCAGGGAAGTGAGGCTGCCTGTCCTTCGGGTGTGGCGCCCCCCCCCGTGCTGTAGGAGTAGTGCGGAGGGTGCCCCTGGCGACCCCTGGCCCGCAGCGGGTCTCTGGTCTCTCAGGAAAGGTGTGGGTCCTATGTCACAGGCTGGGCTGGGGTGCTCCTGGCCCTCACTGACTCAGCCCTGCATTTCTGCTGCTGGCTTCAGGCACGGGCATGATGGTGGAGAACGCGGCGGTCTGCCCGGCCCCACACGCCGGCGCCATCCTCTCCCGCTCAGTGGCGATGCTCGTCCTCATAGGCTACCTGGAGCTCTGATCTCAGAGCCCACGGCCACCTCCCCCGGACACAGCCAGCGGGTCCTGGCCCCTTCCCGACGCCACGGTGGCCTGACACTGTGCGGAGGGGCTGGCTTCGAACACCTGCTTTAAACAGTGTCCCTCTGTTGGAAGCAGGGTATTTCTTATTCTGCCACCGAAGAGCACGGCGCAAGGATTTTTTTTTTCTTTGAATTGAGGCACCAGGCAGTGACTTCTATGATGATGCTGAGCCCACCGCCTGGACCCCAAAGGAACAGGCCTATTGGGAAAGAGTTTAATGCCACCTGCCAAGCAGCAGAGATGGCACTCTGAGACCACGTGTGGCTCTGCCACCTGACTGCAGTCTTGGTCCCCGCAGGACACTGGGCAGGCTAAAGACGTGGGACCAAGCACAAATAGCAACTTCCCTCAGCTAAAGTGAAGGCAAACCCTGGGACCACAGCCCCCCAGTCTCCCGAGGAGTGGCACGACGGGACCTGGCTTTGTCCTCCATGACCCCGAGCAGCCCTGCCTGCCCTGGAGGCTGAGAGCCAGGGCCCGATGCCCGGGGCTGGGAGCCCAAACTCCTTTGGTGTTGGGGTGAGGCTTCAGGCTGCTTCAGGGGGAGCTGCAAAGGGCTGAGGCTGGCACCCCCGCTGGAAAGGGGCACCTGCCCAGGCCTGAGGCACAGCCACCGTCCAGGTGACACTGCCCTCCCAGCCAACACTGCCAACCCAACCCTGTCACCCCAAGGGTGATAGAGCCACGTCAGGTGGCTGGGTGACCTAAGGGCTTGCTTTGGGGAGGGCCCCCGCCCCTCCACCTCCATCCTGCACAGCCCCCTCCTTCCTCCGGCCCCGCCTCTGCCTCCCCCACTTACAGGCAGGGCCAGAGTGTAACGTCCACTCTGTCCTCCCTCGTCCTGAGGCCGAGAGGCTCTGGGAAGGCAAGGAGAGACATGGCCCTGCCTGCTCCTGGGAATTCTCTGGACTGCCTGGTGAGACCAGATCCCAGACTGCTTGAACCACTCTTCCATTCCCAGAGGAAAAGGGGGTCAATAAAGGGACATCCTACCTTGAGCTCAGGGTGTGTTCCCAGTCACAAGCCATCAGAGCCGGAAGAGGCCTTAGAGCTCGATTTGTCCACACCTGGCCCTTCACGGATGATGAAATGGAGGCCAAAGAGTGCTAGGGACTCCTCAGATCCCAGCCTGTAAGTGCAGGGCTGGGCTAAGAACTGGAGTCTCCTACCTGTCTGCTGGAGGCAGTGCCGGCTGTGAAGGTGGCTGAGGCCAGAGTGGGATGTGCCTCCTCCCTGAGTTCAGCCTGGTGATCACGTGCATCGGCCGGCCTGGCCCATCCTGGCGCAGGCAGATTTCCTGGAGACATCCAGGTCCTCTCTGCCTTCTTAGCCTGGCTTCTGCTGGGAACTCCACATGCTGTGCTGGCTCGAAGGCCCTAGCCCCTTTACCCTTGCTCCAGAAAGAGGCCAAAGCGAGGACAGGAGTCCCTGGATGGAGGCCGTGGGGGCAGTACAGCCGGCATCCCCAAAGCCTGCACTGACGGGGCCTCTCATGTTCAGAAGCAATGGGACGAGCATCTGGAAGGGATCTGCCCGCAAAGACCTTAAGCCTGTTTTCTGTAGTTTACAGTTAGAGCTCTATTTTGCTAGGGTTTTTTAAACTTCTAAGTCCTGCTCTATTTTCTTGGGCGGGTTTATGTTGATGTTTACCCACTACAGTTTTTTTAAAAACGTAAGGTCACACACCTTCTCCTGAGCCCCTCACCTGCTCCCCATCCCCATGAGGGCGCTGGGGCTCAGCTCCCAGCCATTCCTCCTCGCAGGGACTCCAGGTGGCCTAGCCCCTTTCTGTCCCCTGCTAGCTGGGCTTTGGCCTGTGCCCAGCAGGGTGAAAGGGGACAGTGAGAGACACAAGCTTTCCAAGCTTCGTCTGATTCTCTCCTCACTCAGCAGGGAGGCAGGGGATGGGGTCCAGTTGCCGGAGTGAGGGATGACCTGGCTTGGCACAGGCGAAGCTTGCTTGAAGAAATACAACCAAGTACTTCCTTTTAATGAGGTCCACGAGGAAGAGGAAGGCAGATCTGCTGGGAGACCCGGGGAACATTTTAATCAAGAAACTGTCACCACTGTGCAGGTAGAATTTGTTGGATGGGGATGTAGAACTGTACTAAAGGCAGACGGTCCTGTGCAGCCTGAAATTCCAGGTAGAGTGCTAAGTTTTGCTGAGACGGAGGTGACTTGAGGACATGCACGCTCGCACAGCCCTCTTGCTTGGACCTGTGCTTGCTTGGAGCAGCAGACTAGGCTACACAGCTTCTCAGTCTCTTCCTGCTGAGGGAGTGGGGTTCAGCCCATCCCCATGACTAAGTGCTAGATTTCCTCCTCACACACCACGCCCCAGAGGAGGCGACAAGGGAGACAGCTTGCCCTACAGCTTGGTGGCCAGTGAATGTCTTGAAGATGGGACAGCCACCTAGCAGACAGCTGTCCAGGAGCCAGGGAGACAGGTGCCCCAGTCGGCACACAGGGCGTGGCTTCTGGGTCCTAGCGGCATAGGGCAGGGCAGCTCTCTCCAGGGCTTCGAGGTCAGTGCTTTCACTCAGAGCAGGAACAGAGCTGGTGTCAGAGAGGCAGGCCATGGGGGCAGGGCTGGGGCATCCTTTTCTCTATTTGATAAAGTAACAATAGGAGAGACTGGAATTAGGTCTTGGGAAAAGCTTCCACAGAGACCCTGGCACGAGTTCAGCGGCCTCTTGTCTAGGGGTCTTTCAGAATTTTGAGTCTCACAGAGGGATCTGGGCCACGTGAAGTTGTGACGTGGGCCACGTGAAGTGACGTGAGAGGGTGGGAGATGCCTGAAGTTTTTCCAGAACTGAGGTTCTCAGAATCAAGTGTTGCACACAGGAAATCTTGGAGAAGCCATCTGCTGTGGTCTGGCACCTTACAGGAAGCCATAAAGGGGAAAGGCTCACCCCAGGGATTATGGTTACCACCCAGTGCCTTCCCCAGTGGGCACTGCCCCAGGGCAGTCCCAAGAGCCACCCACCTGCACTCAGGGCAAGAGCCCTAAAATGTAAGGTGGCTGAGGATGTCGGACTCCCCTTGTTTCCTTCCCACGTCCAACTGACTCCCAATGGGGCTCCCTCCTGTACGTCAGGGGACAGCAGTCCCCACACACCTGGGTCCCTGGCACAGGCGTGGTGCTGTCTCCCTAGCTTGAGCGGAACCTGGGAAAAGAGGGCATTTTGCTAAGGGACTTCAAGAGTTCTGCAGAACAGGCATCTGATGGCGGGGTGCCCTGTGGACTTGTACATGTGTCCTAGCTTTGGGAGGCAGGGCAAGGACAGTTGAAGAGGAACAAAAGGGGTCACAGCTTTGCCTGAGCCCCAGGCAGCCTCAGAGGCCTAAGGCATTTTGTGCCTTAGATGGGCTGCATCCTGTCGTGGCCCAAGACACCAACTTATCACCCATGCTGGGACCCCGGTAGCTTAGAGCGCGGGACTTGGCAATGCTAGGCCTTCGCTGGACCACTGACTTGAAGGATTTTGTTCAAACGGAGCCACCCTTCTGGCCCCTGATTTTGCTCTTGTACTTCTTGTAATGGTAGCTATTTATCGACTCTGGTAGCAGGCAGTTCTTAAATAAAGATGGTTTCTCAACCTGCTGAGGTGGCTGCCAGCAGCTGTTTTCTCCCCCAGCTGAAGGGCAGCTCCTTGTGCCTCTCTGTAACCCTGTTTTCCTGCGTCACAGTTACCTCTACAGAAGTTACAACACATAGTCCGTACTGCAAGATTCGTTAGGCCAGCAGACCCAGGCATGTCTTGGAGCACAGCGGGCATCTGCTAGGCTGGGCAGGCTCTACCTACCCTACTGCAGCAGCACAGTTCGTGTCGTAGCACTGCTTCGGTTCCTTGATTTTTGAGACGTTCAAGGTGTTGACACAGCGGTCCTACAGGAAGGCCTTCTCCCCCAAGATGTGACCCCTACTGATGAGAACATCCCCCGCCTCTGTTGCCAAGGTGCCCAAATTATTGCTGTTTCCAGTCTCAGCACTCTTACACGCTCATCACCACTCACCAAGTTGCTACGACAGGTGCTGTGTGCACAGGGATCCTGGGCAGCCCCGGGCTTGACGTCTTCGGTGCAAAGTGGGTGGAGCTCCACACTGGGTCCCATGGGATTCTTGAGGAAGAGGAAACTGAAGGCAAGCGGAGGCCTCCACTCAGCACTAACCCTCCTGCCAGGGCCCATTCAGCATGAGAAGGGGCCCAGACACCCGTGCGACACCAGCACAGGGCCATCCCTTCCACTTGGTACCCAAAGTGGGCCTGAGGAGCACCAGCCCTTCTGGAGCCCAAATTTGAGTCCAATCAGCCTTTCAGAGGCAGATTACCTGCACAGGACACCATGAACCCCACTCCGTTGTTTCTTTACTAACACATCTGGAGGTCTTTTGTTCTCACCCCTGCTCAGGCCCTTCCCATCCTGAGTCAAAGTTCAAGCACCGAGGCTATTAAGATGCCAATCCTGCTTGGGGGCCTTGGCTGCTGTAAGAAACCAAACTTTAGGGCACTGAAAGGGCAAAAAGGAAAGGAGCAGGGAGCAAGCCAGTGGACTGTTTCATGATCAGGCGAAGGGTCTTGTGTTTTGCCAGAAAATTCAATTTAACAGCAAGGAGAGGACAGGGAGGGCAGACGATTCATTAGCGTCCAGTGACTGGCTATGACATCCTTGCCTCGGCCACCTACAGGCACATGCCCTGCACAAAGGAGACAACTGCCCAGAGTCAGGTCTGAGAAACCCAGGGAGAACAAAAGCCAGACTGGTTATGGGACAAGGTAAACAAATTCAAGAAATGTTAAGATAAAGAGCAAGAAAGGGGTCGAGGATTTAGCTCAGTCGTGCTGCTGTGCTGCCTGCCTCATGAGCACAAGTTTATGAGTTCGATCCCTGGTACTCACCCCCCGCAAAAAAAAAAAAGCAAGAAAAGAAAAGGTTAGGTTTCCATACAGCTATTGTGAATTATTTTTATTGAAGAGGGAAAAATAAGTTTTCACTAGAAAAGCTACTATTACATCCTTCTACCCGAGTACGTTGCTCAGAAGAGGGAAACACAAGTTAAAGGGGCAGATGAATGCAAGCTTGGAAGACAGCTACCTTCCCAGGAGCCGAACCGAAGCCTGAGCACCCAGCAACAGGGAGATCAGGAAGATCAGGGAGAGGTCCATCCGGGACACAAAGAAACTGGACACTCTTGCAGGGCTACCGTGAGGCTCCACCTCTCCATTCCTCACACAGTCTTTCGGCCAATCCACTATCAGTCAGCCAACTCACTCTCTATGCAGCTAGCCTGGCTTCCTGGGCAGCCAGTCCCTCAGGAGCAAGGCTTGTAAGCTCTTGAGGATTTTACCAGTGTAGGTCTCCCTGAGCACCTTGCAAAGGACGATGCTCACCAACACGCCTCCAATCACCCCACCTGCAATCCCTACCCCCAAGGCTGATGCCACCTTCCTTTGCCACTTGGGGCGGTGAGGCTTGGAATAGTTGTCCAGATTAACTTCCAAGCCCTCATCTGCTAACTTCTGCTCCTCAGTAAGGGACTGATGGAAATTCAGGTTCACCAGCTTGGGAGGAAGCACCCTCAGCCCATAGTAGAGCCTCTTGACCAGCCTCAAGTTTCGGAGCAGCTGCACGTCGCAGCGGTACGTCCCAGAGTCATACTCCCGGGCAGGTCTGAACCTCACCAAGTGGGAGCTGGCTCGGAAGGGTCTGAAGACTTCATCGTTCGTGGAGATGATCCCTCGCGCAAGTCTCCAGGTAAAGCGGAATGCTTCCTTTCCGATCTCCAGGATGTCTGAACTGAGACAGCTAAGCTCAAACTCTTCTCCTACGAGAACAGTGAAATGGAGCATTCCACAGATCCAGTTGGTCAGGCACTCCAAGCGCTGGGACCTACACTTCCTCCTCACCCCATCGGGGCCCACCTCACAGACGGTCTCCTCCTTAAAGCCAAGGCCACAGGTGACAGTGCAGGTCGTGGCATTGACAGTAACTGTGCCCACAGCTTCTTGCAGCTTCTTAGGGATGGCCAGTGTTTTAGGTGAAGTCACTGCCAAAGGCAAGCAGAGGGCCAGCACCAGGCTCCCAGTAACGAATCTTGCGGCCGAAGTCTTCATGTCTGGTGGGCACTGCACCACCTTGGCCGGTGCCCTCCAGGTACTCCAGGTGAATCCTCCAGTGTCATAGCTCTCCTCCTCCAACATCAAGAGACACGTTCATCGTCAATAAAACCATGCTACCACTACACTACAGTCCAGTCCTTCACAGGTAAGGCCCAAGGCAGGAAAAACTGAAAGCAAAAGGAATCAACTGTTGCTTCACTATCTACACTCTTTTCATAGCCTCATAATAAATGTAAACCTAACTCTTGAGAAGACAAAAATGAAAAGAGTTCAGAAGTGAATTTCCAAATTAGCCCCAAAGCATGGTGAAATTATACTGTTCTTCATTCACCCTTTCCCCTTCCCTCCAAATTCTGGGCTCTAAATGAAGGGTTTCAAACTTTCAAGTTAAATTGACTTGACCAAATAACAAACACTGCAGTCTAAAATAACCAGAAAGTTACTTGAGTTACATTCAAATACAATACCTTATTTACTGGTAATGTTCCTAAGCCTTCTATAAAAATGATTAATTCTAGAGTAGAAGGCAAATGACTTCCTGAGTTTCTATTTCCTCCTTCATAAATGAAGATCTTGCATTTTTTCAGGAAGGTCACCTTGAGCATCAAATGATACAATGCACATGAAAACACTTTGTAAAGTGTTCACTGCTGCATGTAAGGAGTTTTTTGTTTTTTGTTTTTTTTTAAAAGACAATTCACAAAGACAAGGGCCAAGACACCCATTCAGATTAGCGAGAGAGGCTACGTCAGAGCCAGCTCCTCTCCCTGCTGCTGATGCTCCTCTTCCCTGGGGGACCTAAGACATCTTCTGGGTGGGAGGAAGTGTAACACGGCCTGATCCCTGGCCTGCACCCTCTGCCCTCCAGAACAGAGAAGCCATCTGCTTAGGTGGATGAGGTTGCTATGAAACAGCTATGATGTCAAAGCCACATGACAAAGGTCAGTAAGCAGACACTCATTTTTAGCCCTGGTTAAAACCAAGCCAATAAATTTTGTGAAATACATTCTTTAGGTGACAATGAGTACTCAAAGGGCTTTAAAGCTGATTTAATCGAGGGGGAAAAAAAGACTAGTTTTTACTGTTTTTAGACTAAGATCTTCCTACCATTCATTTCATAACCTCTGGAATGCACAGCACTGTGGTCTCTTCAATTATGCAAATTTATACCAAAGAATCTGAAAAGACATCATTCCTAGATGACCTTTTGATTAACTTCAACTTTTGATTCAAATCATTTACTTTTGTTTTTGGTACCGGGGATCGAACTCGGGCCCTTGGGCTTGCAAGGCAGGAGGCAGAACCACTGAACTAAATCCCCGACCAAACCATTTACTTATTATAATCCTGTCCAGAGGCAGAAATCTAGACATCTTGACCATTCTTCCCCTTCCAGCTCGGCATTCTCACAAAGATCTAACGTCAATCTAGTAAGCTGTACTTTTCGTGGCTGATGAGTTCCATAAGTGATCAGTGTTTATAAACAAACATCTACACTTGCTCTTTTAATAAACATCCGATTTTATTTACAAAGCATTAAAGCTTCAGCAAGAAATACCCAAGGCTAAGTCTCATCTTGTACAAAACTACAGAACATTTAAAAAAACAAAATGGCAGCTGGGGAAATGAGAAAGGTGAATGAAAAAAAGAATACACGTATGTTACACAAACAGAGAAATGAAGTGGACAGAGGGTTTGAGGAGCAGAAAAAATATTCCCAGAGCATAAATAATTACTAGGAGCTGCTGCCAGAGACAATCTGACAGGGCTTACACTGATTTTCTCAGTAGCCAGCTGAGGAGCCGGACACAGCATAAACACCCAAATGCACGGTGAAAGGAACCGGCTACTTCCCACACAGCAGTCAGGCCAGAACCCTGTGCATCACAGCTGCACACCACGGCAGTGCACAGTACCGAGAACTGGAATGGGAACAACGTCTGCAAAACAGAAACACATCGAGGAGCCATCTACCGATCTCAGCCACTGGTCCGACTCACACAAAATTCACAAAACAACTGCTTAAGGAAGCAGCAATGGCAACTGAAAAACGGATCAGCTCTGCAACTGACTCTAGGAGAGCTCTTTCTCCAACTTCTCAGTGTGTGTGTGTGTTCTGAAAGATGGGCTGGGACAGAGAGGCTCTTACTGATGTGTCCTGCTTTGATTTGTAGTTCACAACCTAAAAAGCAATCAGTATGTCTGGCTCCCTAAAGCAGCATCCACCAGTCGAGAGATTTCACTGTAAGCACAGTATGGAAACTCTCCTTTGAAGATACTGAGAAAATGATGATGCAAGATAAGCACTTCTGAGCAGCTATAAGCTAGTCCGAGAGGCTACTAAGCTCTTTTCATCACCGGTTTCCTGACTCTCGATTTTTCAGGAAATTTCAAACACCTCATGTACACATCCATCCAATCTGCTACTTCTTTAAAGAACAGCAAAACAAAACAAAACAAAACAAAGCAAAAAAAAAAAAAGAAAGAAAGAAAAAGATAAAAGCTAAGCAACCTTTCACAGAAAGGAAGTGACTGAAAATACAGTAAGACAAAGGCGCACGGACACAGGAAAGAAAGCCATAATGACTGGTGGGGACAGGATTCCACAGGCAACAATAAGAATTTTACTTTGATCTTTGATTTGAACTGTGTTGTTCCTGCTTTGATTGTGGGGGTAATTTAGTCCTTGCACAGGTTCCCCCAGCCCAATTAAAAAGAAACTTGTTGAGAAACATCTTGGTTTGTTTCCGACTCTAGAAGTCAGCATAGTAAAGTAGTAAAAACTGCTGATGATCCTTTGCTGGAGTTGGATAAAACTAGTTATCTTCAAAAACCATGATTAATGAGACTGAATCAATACTGGAAAAAATATGCAATGCAAGGAAAAGATCTGAATCTCTTACAGTCCAGCTTGTTGAGCAAAACATAGTATGACAAAGAGGAAGCCTTCTTACCTTCTTTTTCTGCAAATTTAAAATCTTTCAAGCACTTTTTTCTGCCCACTTTTGTATATAATTTGGAAACACAGGAGCTATCTGGGAGAGGGCAAGTTTAAAAATCAAAGAAAGAGTATGCAACAGTTTTCCTAGGACACTGGGCACAAAATCTGAGATTTGAGGACATGCATCAAGGAGAGAAGGCAAACAGGAGACAGGAAATGATGTGTCAAAATGATGCTGGGTGCAAGAGTTAGATGAACAAAACACAGGGATCTTTGCTCCAGCAACACAACCAAGTGTTAAAGTATAAATGAGTCAAATCTCCTATTTGATGTCTTTATAAATCCTCTTCCTGAGAGCCTATTTGGACTTATGCTTGAAAGGGAAGATCAGGGATATATGCTCTTCTTCCATAATTCACTTCTTCATTCAAACATAAAATTCACTCATTCCACCTCCTGCACGGGAGGCAGAGGCCTTTGTTTTAAATTAAAGTCAATCTCAAATGACTGACCACATTGTCCAGAAGCCACCCGATGGCATAGTGGGTAAGAACAAAGAGCTTCAAAGCCTTCATAACAGTTCTGAGATTGCTCCTCCTGCTAAGAGATCAGACAAAAAAACATTTATTTTAGTATCACCTTTGGACCAGTTACTTCTAAGTACAGAAATACAGATGGATCTGGATGATACATTACAAGCATACATGGCCAAAAATTTCCTTCTTTTAATGAAAAGCTGTAACCAACTCTAATCCCCAGTTGCTCTTCAGTGAACAGACACATCGGCCACGTTCCAAATCCCCACCTTGATACTTTTCTCAGCTCAGCCCCAAAGGCAGGGGTGGGGGTGAGGGGGAGCAAAACGGTGACAGTTCTACCCACTTGCTACTAACCACTCTCTAAGGTGTTAACAAATGATGCTAGACAATCTAAGAACAACAAACGGAAGGAGAGTCTAGGGCGTTAACCCTCTCACATATTAGACTAGTCCTAAATGATTAACTGAGCAAGAAACCCCTTAAGTGACATCCTTACCACTCTAGAGTCTCAAAGAAGGTGAAATGTTAATGAAAGTCATGCCCACCTTTCTATACATCAACAACTGATCCATAAATAAATCCCTGAATAGAAGAATCAAAGGACCACTTCCCTGGTTATTCCATAGAAGCTGTTCAACCTCTGAGGGACATCCTTAAGTGAGCTGCTGTGGAATATTAACTGGGAAGTGTAAAAAGAGAACAAGGTGAAGACAATCTTGCTAGATGTCATTAGGAAGAGGGAATAACATACTGCTGGACATAAAATGGTGACAAAATAATGGTTCAATTTTGAAAGAAAACAATCTACTCATAAAATTGCTTTGAACCTGATTTTTAAAGTTTCACTACAAATAAAAACTGGCAATAAAAATATATTCACATTTCCTGAGAACCATCTGAAATTAGGGCAAGATACAAACTCTGCCAAACACTACATTAGTAAATATCAAATTTGAACTTTTTAATAGTTTGGTAAGGTAAAAAAAAAAGTCATTTGGCATCTGTTTTTCAGATTAAGCCCAACACAAAAAGTAATAATAAATTTCTTTTTTTTTGGTACTGGGGATCGAACTCGGGACCTTGTGCTTGTGAGGCAGGCGAGAGAACCACTGGGCTAAATCCCCGGCCCAATAATAAATTTCTTCAGTTGATTTATAAAAAAAGAAACTTCAAGTAAAAGAACACACTCTAATGTTTACCACTTTAGGGCTGTTCTCACTGACTGTTCCCATAAGTATCTTGACCAGTTTAGTTTTAACCATTTAAAAATGAACACAACATTGCAGTTTTGAGCCTACAGGAAAAAGTAGTTTGCTTATTTGTTTTTTAGAGACTGAGTTTCACTATTTCATAGTCCAAACTAACACCGTTCGGCCTCAGTCTCCTGAGTGCTGAGACCACAGGTGGGTGCCCCACACCCAGCTCAGGAGAAAGAGTGACCATAAATTAATAGCCTTAACAAGCAGCACTCAAGATGTCTAATAAGTACCTCAGCATCCGAGCAGCTCACTCTCGCCCTTGTGAGTGGACACACATGTATGTACAAACACATACAAACATATACTGTGTGTATCACCCAACACAATAAAACCACAGCAAGCACTACTATGAGTGAGGTAATTTACCCAGAAACAGCAACACAGAAGACCTGCAACTGCCCCAAGAAAACACGTTATTTAGTTGCAACATAAAGGAAATTTCCAGCAACACAGTATTAGGAAATTCAGCTTATGATGACAGCTGTCTTTAGTACCTCCCAACAGCAGCTCCATCCAGGGCTGGCCCTCAGGCCCTAAGGAAACACTGGATCATGACTTTCACACTGACCTTGGTCAGCTGATACAGTCACACTGAATAAGGATACTCGACTGTCTCATTTCAGCAGGAACCCATAAATTAGTCTTTAAGAGCTGTTTATTTAAGGAAGGAGGAAGGATGGACCTCACTCACTGCCAAGCATTTAAAACAATCACAGGTCCAGCAGGTTCCTCCCTGCAGGTGGTTCAGAGCCCCAGGCCAGCACCAGGCAGCAGCACAAGCCAGGCAAATCTGAACACTGCCTATCTGCTCCCAGACATGGCACCTCTGCTCACTTCAGCCTTTGTCACTCCCAGACCCAGGATCACACTGACCCTTCGTGCCCACCAATGAGGCCTCTAGACTAAGTATGTAACAAGCCACACCTTTGGACTGAAGCGCTGTTTGATAGGGAAACTTTCCCATAGCTCCAGATTCCAGGTCACTTATTCGGTGGTCTATTCGTCTTCTAATTTCCTCTTGGAATGTATAATCTCTAGTCACAACACACAAGAGACTCCGGCAGCTTTGTTAAGGCTAACTAAAGCTCATGGAATGGGTTTTGCTGTAACTGGCCAGTTGTGGACATAAACATACAGGTGTTACTCACTGATCTTTGGTAATAACACAGCCTATACCTATGATCCTGCCTTCAAACAATTAGACCCTAACACCAAAGCCCTCCAGTTTAAAGGGAGGTCCACAAAACTTTGAGTCTACAATGTAATCCTTAGACTAAATTAATTACTGAAGGTAGTTTAGCCCGAGGCATTCTGAATCAGGTTTCATTTCTTAGTATCTGGTGGGAAAACTACAATAACTGCACCCTGCCTTTACTGAAAATCCCCAAGGTGACAAACATGAGATCCACATGCCAGAATGACCCTCGGTGGCCTTTGAGGGCTGTGGCTAACCAGCAGCAGGTGCTGGTCAGCCTTTGCCTCCTAGAGGCCCTCCAAGACAGCCACAGTGCTGGACAGAGCCCTCTTCACCCAAGCAATTCCACACAAAAAGTACGTTTGCTCGTCTTGAAACTAAGGATTCTTCCAGAATGTGCATCTTTGCAAAGTTCCAAACCACACAGTGACTGGTCAGTATAGCCACATGTGACCCTTCTGAGGGTCTAGGAACAAAGCCTCAGGCCACTGCTGAGGATGTTTTTGTTTTAAACGATCCCCACTCCTCAGTGCTCTGAGGTGCAATGTGGCTATCTCTGTTCTGGGAAGGTCTATTCAGGAAAAGGGCAGGAGAAGGAAGGAAAAAATACAAAAAAGGAAGAAGGAAAGACAGACTGATTATACAGGAAGTACATCCATGAGGAGCAGGGCAAATGGCTGCAGTGTGCTATGCAGCTGCTCTGCCTCTGTGTGGCCAACGTCCCTTCACTCTGGCCTGTTATGGGAAAGGCTCCCCTCGTTCTTGTACCCACATAGCTGTTCAAATGGTTGCTTCCACATAAGGTTGACCCACTTCAGCCCTAACAAAAATAATTAGAAAGCAAGAGTCCAGCATGAAGCACCCTGCTATTCCAAGACAGGAATTCTGGCCTTTAGTGAGGTCAGGACATCATTTAACCTCATCAACAAAGTGAGTGTGGAGAATCTAACAGGGTAATGACAGTAGTATCTACTCTCACAAGAAGGGGCTTTTAAATTGCTAACTTACAGCAATACTAAAATATGCATCCCACGTACAGTTCAAACTTACTGCAAATAATCCTCTGTCACTAAGATAAAATAACACCAACATAGGAAATACAAAGGCCCATTCCTCTGGGGCTGAGTAAACTTTCCAGCATTTTTATTTTGACTCTCACTTGGACATGAGTTACTGTTAGTGACCATCTCAATTATAATTCAAAGCTGAAGTCACTGTATCGTTGAGGAAAACGTGAGTTGAAAAAAAAATTTTTAATTTTTATCTCACTTTTTATTGAAAAGCACAAGATTGATTACAAACAGGTTGTAAAGAGACTGTATGTCCTAAAGTGTTTTAATTAATTGAATACACTCAGCCACATTGTAAATCACCCTAAAAGCATCTGAGCTCTTTGGAGTCGGGGAAATTTATTTGAATTTTACATTGCGTTCCTCTGTGTCATCAGCTTGCACAAGAAGCGGGCCATGGCAGGATTACCTCTACTTAGGTCTAATCAATTATCAATCTGCAGCCTTTTTTGGCAGTTACATAACTGCTATACAGACAAACACAGGCTTTGGAGGACTGAATGTGAGAGCGGTAGGGCCAGGATTTAGCTCAGTGGTGCTGTTGCCTGCCCTACAAGTGGAAGGTCCCGAGTTTGATCCCCAAGACAAAAAAAAAAAAAAAAAAAAAAAAATAGATTCAATGCAATCCTGATAGAAATCCCAACAGTATATTTGACACAACTAAAAAAAAAAAAAAAAAAGAATATGAATGTAAGAGTGGTAACTGATTATCAGTATTTATGGCACCATCGATACTAGGGAAAAAATATGGAGCTCAGTGTATGTGTTGGCTATGAAAAACTGCAGTCTAAATGTAGCAAACAGGGTAGAATATTCAAAAGAATGACAAACTAAGTCTGCTTTGAGCTTCTATATAGAAGAAAATTCTTATTCATGAATAATGATTGACAACAGGTAAAAATTAAGCAAGGGATTCTGTTTTACACTCTATTATTTTTAAAATATGGATGAACACAGATTAAAATTTTAAAGCAGGAGAGAAAAAAACTTGAATATAACCAGACATTTCATGAATCCTGCCTTCAGTCTCCTCAGCAGCAAAATAGTGAGGACATTTTAATTAATTAAAGCAGCATTTATATAAGAAACAAAAAAATTCCAAATCCCAACGTTTCAATAGAAACGGAAATATTTTTCAAACAAAAGACCATTTAGCCTAGGTTCACAAGTATTGGATAGGAAATTGAATTGGTTCTCCATCTCCCAATAAAAATTCTTCCATGATATAAAAGTGAGAAAATCCATGTGCTTGCTTTAGCAGCATATACTAAAAGTGAGAAAATCCAAATATTAAGTTTTTAAGCTGTTAACAAGCTACATAGTATAGTTTCTGTCTTTTTGGTAACTGCTTCCAGATACTGGGAGGAAGAACCCAAAAGCCTCATTTTCTTTTTCTTTTGGTACCGGGGATATAACTTGGAACCCCGCACTTGTGAGGCAGGCAGTGGAACCATGGAACCAATGAGCTAAATCCCCTCATTTTCTTAACATGTTGGTATTACTAACAATTTCGTTGTTTCTAGACTATCAGGAGAGAGAAAACCACCTCTTATGGGATTTGAACAATATGGAAAGAGGGAAAAGATGCTACAGTTCAATAGTCAGGAGCTATATAAAATAAGCTAATGTTTCTGCCTATGGCACTTAAATTTGAAGCAAAAACTACTGTCAACAACAAAACCTACACCAACAAAAACCAAGAGCAAATACAGATGAAGAAATGAATTAAACCAGGGGTTCTGACATTTTTAGGTCATGGGTTTCCCAGTAGGAATGTGATGAAAGCTATGGGCATCTTCCTCAGAAAAATACTCACATGTTCTGCAAATGATATCAGGGAAGTATAGGCCCCGTGGAATCCATTTATGGACCCGAGGTTAAGATTCACTGAATTAAGCCAATTGCCCTTAGCAGCTTAAAATGCAGAGATGATCTGTTGCTGGGAAAAGGAGGAAGGAAAAAATGCTGCAGCTAAAGGAGGCCAGGGCTGTACAAAGCAAGGCCACAAAGCAAGCCAGACAGTGCTCCCAATGTGTCCTTACCTGTCAAGGGCTGGCTGAGCTCCGCCTGCACTTTACCCTTCGTTGGTCCTTCCAGAGGTAAACCTCTGTCCCCTTTGTAGAGTTTCGGTTTAAATGGAGAATCTTTCTCTTTACCTTTTGATCCTTTAGGCCGGCCTGCTTGCTTCTTCTTGGATTTGCCATCCCCCTTCACACCCAGTAGTGGATGGACTTCTGCAGAAGGACAGAGAGCTGTCAGGGGAGGCCACACACCACCAGTCCCAGCACCCCACTCTGAGTAAACACCATGGCTTTTGTGTCCCAGGCCCACTGATACAAGCAGTGCAATCTGCCTGTGTATTATTTTTAAAACAAAAGGCTGTTCAACGATCACTGATTGACAAAGAAGTACAAACAGCCTCTGTGGCTCATACCAAGCCACAGAAATGCTAAACTGAAAAACCAGCCAAAGATAGTGCATCAAAGCAAAATAAAAAAGGTGTGCATGTGTGTATGCACATGGGTATATGCACGGGCGTGCATGTACACACACACACACACACACACACACACACACACACACACACACACAGAGGCACAAGGGAGCAGAAATAGAACAGGCTTTGGAACTAGACAACCAGGGAAGAGAATCCTGACTCTACCACTTTCTATGAGTTTCTGGGCAAGTTACATAACTTCTTAACACATAACCTCAACCTAAAGTTTCTCCTTTGTAAAGCAGGGATAACGAAACAGCTCGTGGGGTGTATGCAGAAGTCAGCAATGGTATATAAACCACCTAATAGTGCTTGGGTCAGAGCAGATACACAATCAACAACAACAGGGAAATGTGCAGCTGCATCGTTAGCGGGTCTGAAGTTAGCTAAAAGAAAAAAGAAGATGCCTGGTAGTAAACATATCCCTATCTATCACAACATATAAAAGGCTTCTAAAGTCAAATTGTAAAAGCAGGAAGAAGGAAATGATTGTCCAGATCTGACTAGTACTTTACCACCTAATGAAATCCCCTATGGGAAAAAAATGAGCTATGTGTCAGAACAGAAAGTGTGTTACCACAGGTAAGATACTGAAGAGGAGAATTTCCCCAACTTAAAAGAGAAGTGAACACAAATGCAATCATCATAAAGCTGTCAAGCACTACTGAAAAGTTTCATGACGGGCTCGGGATTTAGCTCAGTGGTTCTGCTGCCTGCCTTGCAAGCACAAGGTCCTGAGTTCAATCCCTGGTAGCCCCCACAAATGAATTGTAGATTCATGGGGAAACTCCTTTAGGGTAAAAATCAAACAGGGAATTTTCATGCTGGACAGTAAAAAGCAGTGCCTGCTGGTCAGCAGGGAGAAGATGTAGCTCTTACCATCATTTGGCACTCCTTGAAGCTCTATATTGGTTGTTTTGGGTTTCTTCTTAGGTGGCTGGGACCCATCTGCCGAGGACTGCCTCTTCTTCTCTGAACTAGCCCCTTCGTCCATCAAGGAAGTTTGGACCGCATCTGGCGGGGGGCCATAAGGATTTTCTTCTGGGTCTTCTACCTCAGGGGCAATGGGTAAATACAACAGAGCCTTTGAATCTTCCAGCTCTTCATCACTATTTGGAACAGGATCAGACAGGGATTGGAAAAAAGAGGAGACAGTTGCTTAAACCACGAGCCCTTCCTCTATCGCCTCTGTTTAGCATACATATCAGGCATAGACCTAGAACTTTAAGAGAGCCAAGATGAATAAAAGGAAATCAGAAATCAATGATCATAACCAAACAGACAAATTCTCTCCATTTCTTAAATTCTGTAACAAGAAGAAGGAAAGGAAAAGCAGGACTAGAGAAGAAAGACTAAATTGTTTCTGCTGTACACCAAAGGTGCTCACTTTTTCAGCTAAGCAGATGGGACTGAAGGGACAGGCAGGGTGCTGAGGAGCACCCCCAGAGGCAGAGAAGGCCTGCGCCAGCCCCAGCCCACCAGAATGCTCACCTACTACAGAAGGCAGCGATGGGGTCCACACTGGTGACGTCCACTTCCTCATCCTCAGCAGCATCTGCCCCTGCAGGACAGAAAACAGAACAGATTTGAGACAAGTGAAAACTGCTTTCTACTCATAACTTAATGGTTTTCACAAACTGAAATTCAAGAAATACGAAGGAGGAAAACCAAACAGTTCATTTAACCAATAAGAGCTGAATTTCAATCATGTGCCAGGGGAAGAGCGATGATCACGGAAGTTGAGGACGGCTTTTCAATCAGTAAAAGCTCCGTAGTCTAACTGGGTAAACAGACACAAATGGATAATTTCAATTTAATACAATAAATGCCACACCAAGGTATGTGCAGTGCTCATGGGAGAGAGGAAGGAGGAATAATTTATGTGAAAGTCTGGGAAGGCTCACAGAACATGATGCCAAAACAATCCAGAACATTTTGCATCCCAGAGATGTTCCTGAAGTATGCGAGGTATGCAAGTTATCTAATACTCAAAAGGACAGACCAGTGGTTCCAAGCTGGAGAGAATTAACCTTAATCCTGATTCCTGGCACCATGAAATGGTCCAGTAATGAAAGATCTATGGCATCAATTACAGTACCAACTGGGCACACTAAAGCACTCACACACATGAATCCCTTCTGTACGTAAAGCTTCATGTTAGACACCATGAAGATAACAAATCAAATCTTTATTTAAAAAGAAAATCTTTATTTTCAAGGAGGTCCTATCCACAAGTTCAGAAGATGAGACAAAAATAACAATGATCACAGACATAATCATAACAGAAAATAATGTGTGGATGCCTATTATGGCCTAGAAATATACTAAGTACTTTACATGAATTATGTTGTCTATACCCAACCACCCCAAAAGACAGGTACTTATCACTACCTCTGTGCAATCAGAGTTACACATTAAGGGTTAGTATTTTGCCCAACACTGACTCTGGAACCCATGCTCTTGGCCTTTCTCTTACTGACAAAGGGGTGACAGGACACAGGACATAGCTGCACTCAGTGCATTTGGGTGCTTTGCCAGGTGTTACCCACAAATCCCCATTTAGTTATCTGCAATTAATCAGCAAAAACAAATGAAATGTGGAGAGTTGCCTGAGCCCTGGCAATGCCTACATAAGCCCTTAATTGTTTTATAAATTGAGACATCATGAAAATTATGCATACTTAATGAAAAATAAGGCATTGTGGACTCTGAAATAAATTTACAACCCAAATTTAAAAAATTAAGTAAAGCAATCATTTTTCCTTTTAGAAATACCATCTGCAATCAAGACACATTACCTGTCTGCTCAGGCTCACTCTTATCTTCATCTTCAATATCAAACTCTGATTCCCTTTCTTCATATTCTACATTTTCATCCAACTCTTTGAAATCTGGTGCAAATGCACTCCAATTTTCCTATACCACAAACAAAATACACTACTTAACTATATGAGAAAGCAATAATCTAAATCTAGACACTAATGATGTAAGTGAAAGAGTTGAGACCTCTGAAATTAAATTTGGAGGTAAAAATTATCTATAGGTTTTACCATCTTAAGGTATCTCTTATCTAAACATGACAAGTTATCACTACAGTCCTCTAATAAATACATTTGCTTTAATCTTTTAAGATATAATTGAGATAAAATGTTAAATTTTCTTTTTTTGATTCTTTGTCAATCAATTACATTTCCAAACAAAAATCCCTATCTAATCAAAGGCAATTACACTGAATGATGACTGTGTTAACCTGATTACAAACATAGTTTCGAAGTAAAATCAAAGGCTGGGCATGGTGGTACACGCCTGTAATCCCAGCACTCGGGAGGCTGAGGTAGGAGGATCGCTGTGAGTTCAAGACCAGCCTGGGCTACATAGTGAGTTCTAGGTCAGTCTTACTACATAGTGAGACCCTGTCTCAATAAAAAACAAAAAAACAAAAACAAAAAAAAAAAAAGTAAAATCAAACATAAAACAAACTGAGTTGAAAATAAGAAAAGCAAAATAAAAAATAGCTCAAGTAAAAGAAAAATGTAACAGAAAGTACCCTATACTTTCTCCATGAAAACAGAACTAATAAACCAACGTGGGCCCAAGATCTTCCCATCAAAATAAAGTAACACTAGCTGGGGATGCAGCAAGTTCAAGGATCTGAGTTCGATCCCCAGTACCAAAATAAATAAATAAATAAAGTAACACTAGACATGTGGAGCCTATTTATTTAGGCAACAAGATTCACATGCAAAAGAAAGTAATTAAGGTAGTTTCTAGCTTACTACATGGAAGGTTCTTTGCCAAAAAGGAGTATTTAGTTTCAAAGTGAGTCAAAGAGAAAAGACTTACTACTTGGTTTTGTGCCCAGATGGATACTACTCCACTAGAGATGGACGCTATGATGGGCCGGACGGGATGCCACTGAATTTGAAGGAAGGAAAGAAAACTTGGGTCAGTGAGGACACATTCGAGGCGGCCCAGACCATGTGTGTAACGGCCTGCTCGACTCACTGCTACATCCAGGAGGAGCTCTCCTCTCGTTCCGTGGAGAATCTTCACCAGGTTGCCAATGCTCTTCTCCCAGATGTACAGTGCGTGCTGCCGGGCGGAGCCTGCCACGATGTACTCCCCATCCCCAGAGAAGCAACATTTCTTCCACGGGGTCCTAAAGGACAAAACAGTCCCCAAGGAAAATGGAACCTGCGCCCAAAGAGGAACCATCCCACTGCTGGGCCGCGAGACGCACCTATTCACCAGGTCCTGCAGTTTCTGCATGGGTTCAGGCTCTCCATCTCTGCCACAGGTTAAGATCTCTCTGCCATCATAAACTCGGATTATTCGATCTGCTGTGTTAATTAAAAAGCAACTACAGAAAGAAGGAAAAATAGCAACAGAGGTCAGGAATCATTTTCATTACTAAAGTTCCCCATAACAGTAACACAAACAACTAATTACCGGGGAGAACCCTAGTAAAGACCTAGACTAGAATTCCTGTCATCTTGGCACCTTCCAAAACCAAGGCAAGTGAGGGTATATACACTCTGTCCTGCCTGTGTACCCTTAAGTCCAAACTGATCAAACTGTCAGTATTTAACTGAGATCCAAGACCTCTAAACTAAAGCCACCTTGCTAAATTTACAAGGTTATGTGAAATGTACAAAAACACTTTATTTCACGGGCCAGTTTTGTAAACAATATATTATTCTACATGAGTTAATAAACTAAATGTGCCATCTTAAAATGTCTGACTTTTTTATTGTAAGACAGCAGAACCCTTAGACAGACCCTACTGGCCTTTTCTTAATTCGAGAGCATTCTGAGGGGCTAAAGTGCATCTCAGGGGAAAGAGCTTGCCTAGCATGTGAGGCCCTTGATTCCATCCCAGAACCCCCCCACCCTACCTCCGCATGTGCGCACACATGCATACACACACACGCGCGCGCGCACACACGCGCTCACACTCAAGAGAATTTGAACACTAATATCCTCTAGGTACGTACAGGTGTTCCTACACAGAACATGACTGTTACTTCTGACTGATAACCCTTTTCTTCTTGTTTGTGTTGCTATATCTACTTCTAACTAAATAACCAAACTTATCAAAATAACACCTGAAATTAAAAGGATAGATTTTATGTAAATGTACATTTAATCACTGTGTCAATTTTATGACACAGTTCTGCTTATAAAAATATTTAGGCCCTGGGGTGTAACTCAGGGGTAGAGTACTTATCTAGCATGCATGAGACCCTGGCTAGAATCCCCAGCACCACTATGAAAAACAAAGTTACTTAATCTGTACTCAATGCTTACTACGTGCCAAGCATTTGGTTCTCAGCACTCACCACTCAAATGTACCCCAGGTACAGAGGGTAACCTTCAAAGAAGGAAAATGTGACTACTGGTCCAATGAGGGAAATTTTGTGAGCCCAAGAACCAGATATAAAAAGTTTCTAGCAACTTCTATACATTTTTAAAGCATAATATATACAAAAACTAAATTTCATGCAGTTTTGTACTCTTCTTCTTTGTCCCTAAAAAAGACAAGCTCTCACTCACCTTCCCTTCCGGGCAAACTCAATTGACTTAATGGCTGTGGTATTGCTTGTTCCAGTTGTTACTCTGAAGGAAGCAACAAGATCCTGAGAATCTGTTTTTAGGACCAAAATCTAAAGTTTACAGAAAAAAAAAAAAAAAAGAGGAAATATTCTGATATATAACAGAAATTAGATCTGGCTTCTCTATCTAAAATTGAGTGGACACTGGGTAAAAATGCAAATACTGCTATTCCTGTGTACTCAACCTGATTGCCTTTTCAAGTAAACTATAGTCTTAGGCAATGGTATATATCTGTCATCCCAGCACTGTGGGAGGCAGAGGCAGGAGGGTCAGAAGTTCAAGCCCAGCATGGGAAACTTAGCAACTCAGCAAGACCCTGTCTTAAAATAAAAACCAAACAAAAAAGGGCTGGGATGTAGCTCCACAGGAAGTCCCTGTGCTCTCATGGCAGCAGATCCCTGGGGTTCAAACCCAGCACTTGGGGGCAGAGGGAGTGGTCTTCACAATCCATTTCAAAAATACAATATTTAACATTATTCACAATAGCCAAATACTGGTAGCAACCCAAGTATTAATCAACAGATGAATAGTTAAAACAATATATGGTAGACACCTACAATATGGTTGAACTTTGAAATGGAGGTAAACCCACACGCTGCTGAATAAACCTTGAGGTCATTGCATTGAGCAAAAAAGCCAGCCACAAGTGGGAAAATACGGTATGAGTCCACTAACATGAGGTACACAGAGTCGTCAAAGTTATAGAGACAAAGTGAGATGGTGGTTGCCACGGAAGGGAAAATTTATTGTTTAATGGGCATAGTGTTTCAGTTTTGCAAAATGAAGAGTTCTGGGCTGGGGATTTAGCTCAGTGGTGCCACCGTCTGCCTTGCAAGCAGAAGGTCCTGAGTTCGATAGCCGGTACCAAAAAAAAAAAAAAAAAAAAAAAAAAAAAGAAAAGAGTTCTGAAGAGGATGGTGGTGAAGATTGAATGTACTTAATACCATTAAATTTCACATTTAAAAATGCTTAAAATGGTAAATTTCATTTTACTAATTTTACTAGTTTTTTTTTCTTTTTTTAATGGCCACTTTGTTTTTATTGTTTTTTGAGACAGTCGTGCTATGTAGTTCAGGCTAGCCTTGAACTCACAGTAATCCTCCTGTCTCAGCCTCCCACATGCTGGGATTACAGGTATGTGCCATCACGCCTGGCTAACTGCCACTTTCCAAAATAACCAAGGGGGTTGGGGATGTGGCTCAGTAGTAGAAAGGGCCTGCCTAATATGTTCAAGGCCTCAGGTTCAATCTCCAGTACTGCAAACAAACAAACAAACAAACAAGTAAATAAATAAATGAAGTAGCCATGAAATTACACTAGCCCATTGCACCAACTGAAAACAAAACAACAGCAAAATCAAGGGCCAATGGAATTATAATACTAGGCATGAAAAGAGCCCTAAAGCTCACCTAAGCTCCCTTCATATTACACAGAAAAAACACCAATGCACCCCAGGAAAAAGGGCCTATACTTTCCAAACATCCCAAAAGGCAGGGTAAGAAGATTAACAGGAAAAGAAAGAAAGAAAAAGGTATTACAGGTTTGGCCAAGCTGAATTACACAACGATGTATGCAACCACATATCAAGGTGTTTTCATGAGAAATGCTCCAGTTGATAACATGGCTTTTAAATTTTATAATTTAGTAAGACCCTTCATTACTGGCATTTATTAGAGGCCTTTCCATCCTCTATGTCAAATAATCTCTGACTGCTCTAAATTCAAAGAACAGAAATTATAATTAAGGTATGAAAGAAAAATAAGCTAAATATGCTACAGGTAAGAGCTATGCTTAGACCAAGAAATAAAAGGAACTTCAAAAGAAGTACGCCATGTAAACTTATGAAATGAGTCTGCACATGGAGTGCCTCGTCCTTGCTTTACCAACTTGCGGGCCCCTTGGCTTACCTTGCCCTTTGCATTTCCTGTATAGATATATTCCCCTCGCCTATCAAAAGATGCCACCACGTTCAAATCGGAGTCATCGTCTACCGGCAGAACAACATGTTTGGAATCTGAAAGGGTCAACATGACAGGAGCAGATTTCATGGGACACACGAGAACCTTGTTCCTGTTTAAAAATATGAACAGCACATTGGCTATTGCTTTGGTATCAGCAGGCTGAGTCCTGACCTCTGTCTGCTCCGCTCATCAACCCTCCATCCCAAGCAAATCTGCAATCACAAAAAGCCTGAAGTCCTCATGTTGAGTAACAGGGAAAAGATTGAGTGAAATTAGGGGGATCCTATCCTGACAAAATAAAATGTGATCACTGAAAATAAATAGGAAGTTGTGATTTAACTAGCAAAATAGGAAATAAAGTAAATACCAAGCTAATTAATTACAGCTGTGTAACAAATCTCAGCCAGACTGAGCTAGAGGCCCATGGAAGAAGTCTCTACTTACAGAGCAGTTGACTACGACACATCCCAGAGGAAGGGAACAGCCAAGTCTGGGCAATGCAGGGGTGAATAACTGTTTTTCCTAAATGTAATCTTTCTATTGAGCTATCTACTCATACTAGAGAAATCCAAACAATTAAGGAAGGAAAAGCCCATGTCAAGGCCCAATCATTATACTTATTTGTCTTTGCTCCTTTTCAGTTTTCATCTGGCCAGTCATGACTAGTGCGTATAGCTCAATATACATGGAGAGTCATAATACACAAATCATATGCATATATGTACACAGATACGGTATCAGTGCCCTTGAAAACGTATCGGTACAGCCAATGAGGAAGCTTATTTTATTCACGCAGGTCTTAGAGACGTGTATCTCTGCCTCCTAACCCTCGCGCTGAAGCTGTCACGAGCCCAGAGCTAATCCATCTAGAATCAGACCCCCCGGGACAGGAGCAGCGTAGACATACTGGTCTCGTGGGTGATACTGGACTTTCAAGATGGGTGAAGGGAAGCGGAACCTCTGGTCACAGTCGCCCGACAGAACATCCCATTGCGACACTATGTTATCGGTGGAAGCGCTCACGAGCTTGTGACCATCTCGACTCCAGCTAGGAAAAAAAGGGCAGGTTAGTAGGTGCTCAAGGTTAAAGTACAACGTATCATGTCGCTGCTGTGGATAAAATGCAGGAGTCACACACATTCTCCTACAACAGGTAGGCGCAATGACACATACTTGTTAAACCCAGCATTTGGGAGGCTAAGGCAGGAGGATTACAAGTTTGAGTCCCACCTGGGAAACTTAGTGAGACCCTATGTCAAAATAAAAAATGAAGGGATAGAGATGTAAGCTCAGTGGTAGTTTTTAAGGGGAGAGAGATGAGACACGGTCTTAAGGTAGCTCACGAGGTCCCTGAACTCGCTATGTAGCCCAGGCTGGTCTCAAACTTGTGGCAATCCTCCTCCCTCAGCCTCTTGAATGCTGAGATCACAGGTGTACAACACCACACTTGGCTCTTCTGGTACCATTTTTGATAATTTTTTTTTGGCTGGAGATTGAACTCAGGTCCTTGCACTTGAAAGGCAGGCAGGGGAACCACTGAGCTCAATCCCCAGCATGGTACCATTTTTTAAGAATCTACAACCAATTTTCTTCAGTAGCCAATAAGTAAGACTGTTTCCATAATATCTTTGCATATACTTGTTAATATTTCAAGTGGCTCAGTGAAATGATTCAAATATCTTAGAAAACCCCAAATCAGCTAGCCTTTAAGAGTTAAAACAACAACAGCAACAACAAAAATGTGGCTGGGGTTGAGAGGGCCTGAGGGTGAAGATTATGTGAATATTTTGAAGGTCTCCCAAAAGTAGGGCCATCACAGCATGAACAAAACAAAAAGAAAGACAAAACTCTCTTATTTAAAAATAAGAAAGGAAGAAAGTATCCCTCCTGCAAAGCACTGCAGAACACCTTGCCCACTCTACAAAACAGACAGGAAAGGAATCTGAAAGGTAGAGAGGAGACAGGCAAGCTGCGTGCAGAACCTGAAGGATGGCGCCAGGGTGAGTTCCCTGCAAACTCTTTTGCCTCACGTAGCCTGGACCAGGCGAAGGAAGCCAACAAGCTGGCAATGCCAACAGGTACACAGAGAAACCCCTAAGATACTTCTTCCTCTCGCTAAAGGAGAGCCCAGCGAAGCAGGAGACATCCAGAGAATAATCACTCCAGGCCAGGAAGACACCACAGAGAAATCCTGCTCCAGTCTGCAAGAGCTGGACACAGCCCACACTTCCACCCACTCTCCTCTGCAGGACACCCGCATCCCTTGGCGGGGTCGCTGTTGGGGAAGGTAAGTAGAGGTCAAGACCTTTGCTTACCACCAGCAGGGATGAGGCCCCCCCAGCACCAGTCAGTGGGGGCCCCAGAGATCCTTGAAGACAGGAAGTGGCAGCAGAAACCAAGGGCACAGCCTACACTGCCACCCACCCAGCAGTCTCTGCAAAGCAGAGAAAACCAAATGATAATTCTACAGCTAAGAAATACAATAACTGATATAGAGGAATACAGAAGTCAATGGAGGAAAAAAAGAGTAAAGAATCAGCAAGCTGGAAGGTAGAATAATAAAAATTACTCAATCTGAACAACAGAAAACAAACTAAAAGAATAGAACTGAAAAGGAGCCCCAGGGACATGAGTGTGTAACAAAAGATCGGATATTCATTTGTCAGTCCTAGAAAAAATGAAGAACATATTTGCTGAAACAAGGGGGCAGATAAGACATTTGTTGCCAGCAGACCTAACCTAAAAAAGACTAAAGGAATTACTCTAAATGGGAAGAAAAGGGAGAAGAAATCTTAGAAAGGAAGGAAGAAAGCATAATGAAAAGAGTACCAAAATATGAGTGAGTAAAATACTTTTTCTCCCAAGTTTTGATGTTTGAAGTACATTGTAACTCTGTCAGTTGGCTGTGGTGACACACAACTGTTTACCAGCTAGAAACAAAGTAAGTAAACAGATTGCATATATACATGTACATACATATATATATATTTGTCTTGTGTGGATTACAATGTATTTATTTAGAATATCTGAGACAATCATACACAGGGGCAGGAAAGGGGAAGGAAAGTTTCTGCACTCCATGTGAACTGGTAAAATGTCAGTAACAGTGCACTGCGATAAATTATGCATGTGTAACATTATACCTAGTAAACACTAGAGCTATACAAAGAAATATTCTTAAAAACGTTACAGAGAAGATAAAATGGAATTCTAGAAAGTTGCTCAAGTAACCCACAGGAAAGCAAGAAGCAGAGAAACAAAAAACAGAAGGAATAAACAGAAAAAGCAGTCTCAAGCTAACATTAAGACAAACTGTGAACTGCAGAGTAGTTGCTACTGAGGAACTCAGGTAGGCGATGCAACTCTGGTTAAGAACATAGCTTAAGGGCCGGGGATTTAGTGGTGGGGGGGCTGCCTCACAAGCACAAGGTCTTGAGTTCCATCCCTGGTAATGCGGGAGAAAATAAAAGAGCATAGCTTAAGAGTCAAACTTCTGCTCCAACCTAGACATTACCACCTTCAGCTGTGTGATCGTAGTCAAGTATATAATACCTCCGAGCTCCAATTTCTTCATTATAACAGAAATGATAATAGTATCTTCCTGAGAATTAATTTATATAGTTAATATAATTCAAGTTAATATATATATATATAAAATCGAGAGAATTAATGTTAATATATAAAATTCTTAGTCCAATGCCTGGCACATAATAAGTGCTCAAAAAACATCAATAATTATTATCAGAGATAAGATAACTATACTGTATTCCCTGATTCAGGACTCCAGGGACAGAGGGTGGCAGGGGTAAACTGAGGAAGCAAATATAAGGCAGTAAGTTCAAGTCTGCATAGAAGAGGACTGGGTGCCCTGTCCACCAGCCCTCGAACACCTGCAGCTCTAGATAACTCTAAAGGAAGGCAATGCAAATTCAAAGCAGAGGACAATGATAAAACATGAAGTTTCCCAACACAAAAGCCAGCAGTCCACTCAATTCCCATGGATGACTGGAAAGCAAGACGGTGAGCTAAAAGTCAAACCCATTCTACTGGGAAGCCTGTGAATGGTGAACTAACAAATCAAGAAAGAACAATACACATGTCATTTAGAAATATAAGAGAAGTACACTGAGAACAGCACAGGACAGTCTTCACAGTTACTCCCACAGCCTTTGGAGCACTCTGACTACACAACAGGGCTAGCCATGAGTTTGTCCGTCTTCTCTCTAAGCCTGCACTCAGGGCAGCATTTTTTTTCTTTCACACTAAGCTTGCATTTCTGTAATAATGGAGAGAAATCTATTAAAGTTACTCACAGAATAAAAAACTGAGAGATTCCCCATTTTAAAAAAGAATAACTGGCTAGGAGTGTAGCTCCAGGGCAGAGATATGATTAGCATGTGCAAGGCCCTGGGCTCAACCCCAGCACCAAAATGAAATGGAGTAAAATTTTCAATTTCAAATTCTAGATTATCATACTTTCTCACATTTTAAAGTTTTGTTTCTTTCCAAAAGACAGATGGGTCACTACTCTTAAGAGTTTTAAAAATCACTTAGGTCTTGTTTTTGTCTTTTGTGGCGCTGAAGATTGAACACAGGTCTCAGGCTTGTTGCGTAAGTGCTCTACCGTGGGCTACAGCCAGCCTGAAATCCTTTAATTCTAAAACTCAGTTGTAGCTCAACTCCTGTAGAGTCCTCAAGAAGGGGCAGAAAGCCTCTCTCCGTTCCTTCCCTCACCCTCTACCCCAGCATGGTGCCTCTGCTGGGGAGTTGCTTCCCTGTAACTTCTATTCACTACCTACCAGCTCTGCTTCTTCTCCCTGAGCCAGTTTTTCTGCCTTTACAATAACTGAAGACAGATACCATGCCTACCCCACACTTCTCTTGGTTAAACTCCCCAAATTCCTAATGTGTTCAAATATTTACACAACAATTAAAGTCATATAAAGGTACACTCTAAATGTGGCTGAGTCCAAGAAAAGAAGGTAGGTAACTAGCGATTTTAACCATGATGGTTAGGTATACATATACACCAAAAATTAGGAAACAGATAAACAGCAATGAAAGTACACTATTTTACAGACACAATTATTTAAAATGAAACAAAAAAAATGACCCCTATATATTAAGCTTTAAAGCAAGCTCAGAGCAAAATAGTTTGTCTACAATTTTGTTTTAAAAGCATATATGAGTTTATGTGTATTTTTTTACATAGAGAAAAAAGGTAAGCTATATCTTATAAATAAAAGACCTATTCTGGACTGTTTAATAATGATTACCCCAAGGAAGAGACAAAGGACTTTCATTTTTTACTTTGTATACTCATGTACTATTTGATTTAAAAATTTTATAGCAATCACATACAGATTTTGTGATTTAATTTTTTCTTATTGGTACATTTTAGATATACATAAATGATAACATTCTTCATAGCGAATTTGTACCGGTACATAATATATCTTGCTCCTTCTTTTTTTCCCATTCCTCTCCCCGGCCTTCAACTCCTCTTCCCCTCCTTATTTACAAAAGCTTTGTTTCCATTTTTTTCTCTTTATTTTTCTTGTCCCTTCCTTCCTTTCCCACTCTCCCCTCCCCTGTTCCCCTTCTCAACTGAATATTTTTGTCCCATTTCCCAATATCCATTACACATTTTGGTCCTTATTTACACTTTGAGTTTCTCACAGCAGAGAAATAATGCGGTATTTACACGTATTTCCCTTAAGAGTATGGTCTCAAGGTGCATCCATTTAACTAGAAATGTCTGAAACTCATCTTTCTTAATGGCAGGGTAGCACACACACACACACATCTTCTTTATCCATTCACTGGCTGATGGGCATTTGGGCTGTCTCCAAGATTTCGCTATTACAGACTATGCTGCTATAGACATGGGTGAGCCTGTAACACTGTGGTGTGATGCTTTTATTCTTTTAGGAAGATACCAAGAAGGGAAATAGCTGGGGCAAGTAAAGCCTCTAACTTTAGTTTTTTAAGGGATCTCCACACTGATTTCCACAGTGGTTGCACCAGTCTGCACTCCCACCACCAACAGTGAAGAAGGGTTCCTTTTCCCATAGTCCTGCCAGTATTTGTTATTTCTTCATAGCAGCCATTCTTTCTGGAGTAAGGTGGAATCTCAGCATTGCTTTCATTTGCATCTCTTGAATGACCAGTGATGAACATTTTCTTCATATATTTATTTGCCATTTCTACTCTATCTGAAAAGTGTTTATTCATTTCAGATACCCACTTTTGGACTGGGTCTTTAAATTTGAGGGGGGTCTAATTTTTTTCAGTTCTTTATGTATTCTAGATAGTAGTCCTTTGTCTGAGGAATAGCTGGCAAAAATATTTCCAGTCTGTGGCTTGTCTCTTTATTCTGTTAGTGGTTTCTTTTTCTGTACAAAGCTTTTTAAGATGAGATCCCAGTTGCTAATTCCTTGTGACATTTCTTGTGTGATTGGGGTTTTGTTCATAAAGTCTTTGTCTATACCAATGTCTTCAAGAGTTCTACCTATTCTATCTTCCAGCAGATTTAGTGTTTCTGTTTTAATATTTAGATGTTTGATCCATTTGGATTTTGGTTTAGTGCATGGTAATAAATAGTTCTAATCTTCAGCATGATTTTCTTTGGTTTGTATTTTTTGGAGACAGGATCTCACTATTTAGTTGAGACCTACTTGGAACTCACTACGTAGCCCAGGCTGGTCTTGAACTCACAGCGATCCTCCTGCCTCAGCCTCCCAAATGCTGGGATTACAGGCATGCACCACCACACCCGGCTATGATTTTCTGATTTTAAAAAGTTAGTAATGTTGGGGGAGGAGAAAAAATTCCATCAACATTCATGCCCTCTGACCAATCAGTAACATACTTCTTGAAGTCTGCTCTACATCATAGACCAAATGCCTAATGGGTACCTCCACTAAGCTGTCCCATTCACCAACATTCACTAATGTCCGAATGCCTGCTACGTAGCAAGATATGATGATGAGAATACAGCAGCGGGAGACGGTCTGGATACTCCAGCACTTACTAACATTCAGGGAAGATACTCACACAACAAATGTGCGATCAAATATGAATGTAACAGAAGACATGCGACCATGATCCAAATGCACCACTTACCTGGTAAAAACCTACTCACACTACGAGTAGGAGCTTAGAAACCATCTCATCTATGAAGCCTTTCTGACACAGCTCCCTTCAGACACAGCTGAAATCCCAATTCCTCAGGAGGTTTACATAGGAAGATAGTAAGTTCAAGGCCAGCTATTTCAGACTAAAATTTACACAAACGGGCCAGGTATGTAGCTCAGTGGCAGAGTGCTTGCCTAGCAAGTAGGAAACCCTTGGTTCAATCCCCAGTACCACAAACAAAAAGATCTATAAAGCTTTGTAACATGTATCTAACTGCATATCCATCTCCCTTAATAATCAAGAATTTCTTCTCTGGGTTCAATCCTCAGCAACACAGACAAATGCAACCACACAAACACACAAGTTCTTCTCCTTTGTTTTTGTGTTTCCAATGCTGCACACAGTACCTGGTACATAATTTATGTTCAGTATTCGCTGAACAAATGACTATATTGAGAGCAAAACTTAATGCAGATACCCTCAAAACCCTATCCACTAATGGGGAAAACCCAGAAAATGGTTAAGTAAGTAAGGTAGTTTAATGTGGAGAGTCTACCAAAAAAAAAGCAGAAAAGATTATAGTTTATTTGTCACACTGGTCATACAAAACTTTTTAAGCAAGAAAATGTCTAGACAGTGTTAGGGAGAAAAAAACCAAAACAAAATATAACACAATTACAAATTATGGTTTTAAAAACTACATATAGAGGGCCAGGGATTTAGCTCAGTGGTCAGTGGTCTGCCCTGCAAGCGCAAGGACCCGAGTTGAATCCCCGGCACCAAAAAAAAAAAAACTACATATAGAAATATATCAAAATATTTATAAAAGTAACATCTTGGGGCCAGGGATTTAGCTCAGTGGTTCTGTGCCTGCTTCACAAGCACAAGGTTCCAAGTTCGATTCCCAG